TCAGAACTTTCTGTCAGCGGATCCTTTTTTGGCCAACCAATAATATTTATTTTATTATTATTTTTAATTATTCTTGGCTGTACCGGATTTGTATTATTTTTATTAGTTACAAAACAAAGAAATAATAAACAAAAAACTAAACAACAAATTAAACAACGGCCAGAGAACGACAGGTGGATTTTTTTTGTATTTTTACTTTATATATTCTGTTTATTTTAGGAAAATTTATTTTTTATTTTTTAAGCTTTTATTTAATTAATATTTTATATTTGTTGTTTGTTTCTCTCTTATTTTAAAGGAAAATTCTGATTTTTTCTGATATTTTTCTGATATCTGATATTTATTCTGATATTCTGTATTATTTAATATTCTGATATTCTATATTCTGTTTATTCTGATATTTTGTATTTTTATTGTATTTTTTGACTTTTCTGTATTTCTTTGTGTGTTGGGGCATTGTTTCTAGTTCATAGTTATTTTTAATTTTGTATTTTCTTTTTTACATTTTTTTGAAATTCAAAAAAATTTTTCTTTTAATTTAATAAAAATTATTTCTAATTTTCTAAATTAAAATTAAATACTTTTTATTAAAATCTCTTCAACTAAATTTCTATTTCTGTACATATCTTTTAATTCCTTTTTAATTTCTTCATCTTTCATCTTCTCGCATTTTGGCACTTAAATAATTATTTTTTCTTAAATATTTAATTAAGCTCTCTCAAAAAAAAATTAAATACTTTAAATAATTTTTACTTTAAATGCCAATATTTTAAAAGAAAAAAAATTTTTTTCTTTTTTTTTATTTTCTAAGAATATTCTCGAAGAATATTTAATAAATAATTCCTCTCCTCTTTTCTTTTTTTGCCTCTTTACTTCTTTTTCCGGAAATACCGGAAAATTATTTTCTCTTTAAGGAGTGCTGAAAAGAGAGAGGAATAGTTGTTAATTGCCTGTTGATGTACCCCCATATATTCGCAGAATTATAAAAATTCTTAAATTAACTTTTCTTTGTCAATAAATATTTCTTTTATTTAAATTTTATTCCAAAAATTTTAATTATTTTTTTTTGGTTAGTTAGTAGTCAATTAATTTTACTTTATTTTACGTAATATTAGTTAATTAGCAATAAATAAGAAAAAAATTTTTTAAAAAGATTTTTCCAGATTAATTTAAATTTTTAATTAACAGAGAATATACTTAAATTTAATATCTATTTTTATAAATTTTTTCTTATAATATTCTGGACTTTCATACACCCAAAAAATGTCTTTAAAACATAATTTTCCATCCAAAACCTTTCATCTCCGTTCAAACTCAATTCCCCAATCCTAACATTTAAATGCATTAATTTTCTTTAAAAGATTATTTTTTGTGATAAAAAAGATTAAATATAAATAAAACACTTAAAATAGTCCCCCCCTCCCTGCTACTACCTACTATAGTCTATATCCATTTAAATTTATATATCTAAATAATTTGTACTTTTAAAAGATTTCTTTTAAATTTTCTCTTTGAACTTTTAAATAATTTTTTATATAGCAACATTTTAGATATTTTAAATTTATTTTATACTTTGTACTTTTAAAAGTAATGAATTTTGAATTCTTTGGTTTTACAAGCAAAGTAAATTTCTCGTGAGCTTTTTTTAAATTTTCTATCTCTATTTAAAAAATTTTTTCGAGGATTTTGTGATTTTTTTTGAGAGAGAGAATGTGTAATCCCGCAAAACACCATTTGCCAACACAACTTTGAATAATTCAAATATTTAATTATTTACTTTGCTTGTAAAGTAAACCAAAGAAAACCTCCCCCCCCCCTCCCTCCTCCCCCCTCCCCCTCCCCTCCACATATATACCTAAATAAAGTTTAATATTTCAATTTGTTTATTTTAGATTTATTTTTAATTTTATTCAGATACCATTTTAATTTGTTTTCTATTTTTGGTAAAAACGGATGTATGAAAGAGCTCTTTTTATTCATTAAAATATTCATAATTTTAATATTTTTTAGTAAACAAACAAAAAATTTAAATTTAAAATTTTCTGAATTTTTTTTAAATTTTATTCCGTGCCTTTTTTATTTTTATTTAGGGAGATTATTTTTTATTTAATTTTTATTCAGATATACTTCTGGATTAGTTTGATGTTTTTCTTTATTTTTTGAGTAAATTTTCGTTAAATAATTATAAACTCTTATCTTCTTATTTATTTACATTCGATAAAAATTTAAAAATTAATTCCGGTGCAAAAATATATTTTATTTCTTTTTCTAATTTCTTCTATTTAAATAATTTTATTTGTTTTAAAAACTTTTTCTTTAAATTTTCTTTTTCACATTTTTACGTCATAAATAAATTCAAAAATATTTTTTTCTTAGCAATCAAAGTCCACAAAAACGTCAAAAACATAGCAACAAAAATAACAATCAAAATAATTTTAATAATAGACAAAACGGCACAACAAGAAGTAACAAAAGTGAAGGACAGTGGCACGTGCTTAAGGCAAGAAAATTGAAAAAATAATTTTTTATTAAAATAGAAAATATGTTAGAAACAATAATTATTTTTTATTTTAACAACAGAAACACCTTTAATAGTTATTTTATAAAATTGAGGTCTAGGCAGAGGTCGGTCTGAAATGACAAAGGTGCTAGAAATCGGAACTGTTGGAATCGGAAATGGCTTAAAAGTCGGAAATCGAAATCCGACCGACCTCTGGTCTGGGATCTGCATTAATTTCTTTCTATAGAATAATGACTTTATAAACTAATTTTAAAAATAAAAAAATAATACTTTTTTTATTTAGATGATAATGGCTGAACGTGCGGTTGGTTTTTAAAATTAAAATTTAATTATCCTTTTTATAATAAATATGTATCGTTAAATTTTTGTCTGATATATTCTTTTTAATTTTAAAAATATTTTTAGGCTGATTGTTTAGCAAAATTAGGCTTAGAGCAGCCCCCTCCTCCTCCTCCTCCACCTCCATCAACTATAGCAACAAACACTCAATCTTTATCTTCCCTGGGGAAAGATGAACAACAACACCAACAAACAATTTCTGTCAATTCCCTCTCCTCAAATTTTGGAAAGCAACTTTCTTCTAATTTATCACATTGTTCCTCCCCAGCTTCTTCCTCTTCTTCTTCCCCTTCTTCCTCATCTCCTTCACAGCAACAACATTTATCAAATGGAGGTGGTTATGTACTTTGTGGTGGAACGGGAAATCAGGATCAATTACTTTTTGGTGCTCCACATCAGACCTGGGCGAAACTCAAAATTTTTTTCTGACGAAACGAAACGAAACAAAATTTTTTAAAAATCGTTTCGTTAACGAAACGAAACGAAACAACCAAAATCTTACGAAACGAAACGAAACAAAACGAAACATTTTAATATTCAAAAAATTTTCAAAACTGCATTTATTTCGAAATTATTCGACCTCAAATACGTTATTAGTCGACTATGACTTATAAATGATTTAGTTATTGGTTTATTTACAACAATTGTGTCCCATAAGCCAGGCCCGTAGCAAGGAAAATTTTCGGGGAAGGGGGGGGGGGGTCAATCATTTTCGAAGCCAAATTTTTGGCGACGCTTTTTTTTAAATAAAATTGAATATTTTTCAAGTAAAATTTTATTTTAAGCGCCGCAGACGAAAAATTTTAAAATTTTGAAAGGCCGTAGGCCAAAAAATTCACCATCTTGCTCCATTGCCTACCCAAATTGTCTCCATATCTCCATTTCGAGAGGAAGGCGATATAAGCTAGTGCTTCGCCGGAAGTTCCGGTTCCAGTATTTCCGCAACTCGCAATCCGCAATTTTTAAATTATGATGCGAGTCCGGTAATAGAATTTGTCGTCGATTAAGTAATATGTATATGTGGATTAGGGAGTGGAGTATAAACGGATTTGTAGTATATAAGTAATTGCTATCTTCCTTTTTCAGCGCCGCAGGCGAAAATTTTGACAATTTGGGAAAGCCAAGAAGCCGAAATTCTTTTTTTTTCAGCGCCGCAGGCGAAAATTTTTTAAATTTTCAATAAAAGATGGTAAATTTTATAGATTTTGGCCTTAGTTTAGGCTTAAAAAATTGTTTCGTTTCGTTGAAAAATCACAGGTGTTTCGTAACGAAACGAAACGAAACAAATTTAAAAGTGTTTCGTAACGAAACGAGACGAAACAGTAAAAATCATACGAAACATACGAAACAACGAAACGAAACGAAACGTTTCGCCCACGTCTGCTCCACATCATAGAAGGTAGTTTTGTGGAAATTAACTTTGAAAAAATTTGTGATTGAAAATAAAAATATAAATTTATATAAAAATATTTTTTGACTAATTTTCTGATTATTCGACCAATCCTTTGTAATATCCGTTGTATTCTTTCTTTTACTCCAAATGAGTGTCGGATTTCCTTAAAATATTTTCCAATTCCAAGTCCCAACATTTGGTCTAGCTCCGATTTCCATTCTTCCGATCGACTTTCGATGACGAGTATTTCGGTTGATACCAAATTTTTATTTTGTATTTTGAATGAAAATATTTAGAATATAAAGTATTCTTTAAAATATTTGATTATTAAATTTTGAATAATAAATAATTTTCTTTTACAAAATTTATTTTTAATTTGTTTTTCTTTTTCAGATCAAAAAGTTTACGTGAACGGACAGGTGTCGATCAACGTTTGGCTCGATTGCCAAGTGGACCCCCTCCTGGCCAAAGACATTCCACTCTTTTATGGACGGTGCTCAAAAATGGAAATATCCCGTTGGAACGTAGTCGATCTGTGCAAATTAGTGATTTTATTGGTACGAAATTTTTTTTAATTATTTGTCTTGAAATTAGTTTTTGTTTGTATTTATTAGAAGAAAATTTTATTTTATAATTTAAAAAATGTTCCGTAAATTTATTGCAAATATTCTGATTTAATTAGAATTTTTTGTGTTTTACCTATATACAATTACCAGAATTTATTTATTTTCAGAACATGTTCGTTTAATGTCTGCAGATTCTGATTTTCGATTTTCTGAGGAATATGAACAATTAAGAAGTGTTGGGTTAGGTCAGAGTTGTATTGCTGCAGATTTAGCTCCGAATAGACCAAAAAATCGTTTCACAAATATTCTTCCGTATGATCATTCTCGTGTAAAATTAAAACAAACAGATGACGATGATGGGTAGTTAATTTAAAGAATTCTGATTTGTTTATTTTTAATTTAAATAGTTCTGATTATGTTAATGCTTCATATATTCCCGGTTTTAATTCTCGACGTGAATTTATTGCTGCACAAGGACCTTTGCCTTCAAGTAAATATTTCTTTAAAAATCTAAAATAATTATCATTTTTATTTAGCTCGCGATCATTTTTGGCGATTAGTTTGGGAGCAACAAGTTCCAGCAATTATAGCGTTAACAAAATGTGTGGAGAAAGGACGGGATAAATGCCATCAGTAATTTTTTTGTTTTTTTCTTCTTCTAATAAAATAATAATAAATATAGTATACTTTCTAAAAGTAAAAAAATTAAAGTAGTTTTGAAATTAGATATTTTTCTTTAAATTAAATATATTAGCACAAAAAATGGAAAGGATTTATACATATAAATATATTTTTAAAACAATTTTGTATTTAATTTATAAAAAAAGGAAATAATAATAAATAAATATTTTTATAAATATAATTTTAATCGGATTTTCTATTACAGTAGTAGAATAGAATATTTTTTAAAAATGTTTGTTTTTAATAAATAAATAAAAAATAAAAGTTTATTTTTCTTTATTTATCCAGACTGAAAATAAAAAAAAATATTAAATTTAATTTTTAATCAGATATTGGCCAGATAATCGCCAAAGAAGTGTTCTTTATGCGGACATTGAAGTTACATTATTAACTGAATCTATTGACTACGAAGAATTTACAATTAGAGAATTACGTTTAACAAACCTTTCAGAGCCTGGACAACAGCCCAGAACTGTCTTACATTTACATTATCAAGTAAAAAGAATTTTTGAAATTTTTGAAAAATTTTTTATTTTTTAGGCGTGGCCTGATTTTGGAGTACCTGGTTAATAAATTAATAAATTAATTATAATTAATTATTTTTAAATTTAAAGAACACCCTGTTGGAATTGTTCATTTTGCACGTTTATTTCGCAATAAATTACCTCCTTCCCCTTCCAATAAACCAACCATTGTGCATTGTTCTGCTGGCGTTGGCCGTTCTGGAACTTTTATTGCATTGGATAGGCTTATTCAACATATTGGTAGGGTAATTTGAGAGGAAATTAATTCTGATTTTGTGTATTTTTAGTAAATCAGAAAAAACACATTCTGATAAAGTGTGTGCTTCTTCTGTTTATTCTGATTTTACAGAAATATAAAAAATACAATACTCATCCTGATTATAAATAAAATTTTTATTTTATTTTCACAAATCAGAATATTGAGAATATTGTATTTCTAATTTTGTATTTATTTTCTGAATTCTTAAAATTAATTTTTCCATTACAAAACAAATTTCAGAATTTTCCTTTTAATTTTTAGAATGTGGAAAACCTATCGATGTATTTGGGGCTGTCTTTGAAATGAGACTTGAACGTTGTCATATGGTGCAAAATGAAGTATTAAATTCATTTTTTTTAATTATTTAAATATTTAAAATTTAATAGCAACAATATATATTTATCCATCAATGCCTTCAATATGTTCTAGAAAATTTCTATCCATTTTTGTCTACCAACAATTTAATAACAACAACAATAATTCCCCCTACCCCAACAACAACAACCACAAATTCTTTATTATTAAATTCACAACAATTTTCACCAGGAAAACGTTCCTTTCCCCCAACATTTTCTTCAAATAATAACGGACATTTACCCTTTACTTGTTCTTATTCTTCCCCAATAACTAGTTCTCCTCAATTAACAACAAATAATCGAGAAAATACTAGTTTTTGGCAAACAACAAATAATAATTTCCAAAATTTTAACAATTTCCACCAACAAAAATCCCCAAGAATCGATTCACAACAACAACAAAATCGCCAAAATTTTCATAATAACGAAGGATTTTTTAAAGATGAGGATATTGATGAAGGGATAGCCGAAAGTGGATTATAAAATTTGGAAAAAAGAAATAAATTTTTTTGGATATTTTTTGTTTTTGTTTTTATATAAAATGGCCATGATTTTTATTTAAAAGAAAATATTTTTTTAGAATTTCGAAAAGAAATTTAAAAAAAAATTATTTTTTTCTTAGAATTTTCGAAATTAAACAATTTAAAAAATAATAATCATTCGGGTTTTAATTTAAATTTTTTTATTCATTCCTATTTTTCTTAAAATAAATAATTTTTAAAAAATTGTTTTTTACAAAAAAAATATTTGTATTCCCTATTCATTTTTTTTAATTTTATAAATTCTTGAAAGTCTCTTCAGAGGCTTCCTATTTAATTTATATATGTATAAATAATTAAAATTAAAAATAAATTAAAAAGAATTTTTTAAATCAACTTTCTCTCTCTTTCTACAGTCACCCAAAAAATAATTTGAACTTAAAAGTTTAACATTTTTTGAAGTAACCCAAACTTTTCAATATTGAAAAGGAAGACGAAAAATTTTTAAATTTAAATTTATTTTATTAAATAAAAGACAAGAAAATTTATATTAATTTAAAAAAAAAGACACAAACATTCTTTTAATTTATTTAATTTATCCGTTTATATTAAAATTTAATTTTTATTATTTTATTTAAAGTTATTGTTTCTTGAAATTAAAACAAGGAAATAAAAAAAAAATTTAATTTAAAAATTAAAAGGACATTGAAGAAATAAAAAAAAGAAATAAAAATTGTTTTTGATTTTTTTAACTTTGTTTAATAAAGTAGGTAATAGGTATATATAAATATAATTAATTAACCTGTCTATATTTAATTTAAAAATTTTTAAATAAAATTATTTAAAAGTTCTATCCCTTATTAATTTTTATTAAATAAATTTAAATTTTTTATTTAATTAACTTAAATTAAAAAATAGTATATTAAATATTTTTCAGACTTATCAAAAAAAACTTAAAATTTTTTTTTAAATCTTGGACTTGGGAGAATTTATTTTAAGAGATTATTTGTCAAAATTTTTTTAAATATTTTAACATTTAAACTGAATAAAATAAAAGTCTTAAAAAATTAATAAAAATATTTCCAAATTTAGTAATTTCTTTTAATTTTCTCTACAAATTTTATTTAAAATAAAATTGAAAATGTTGACAATTTTGCCACTTTTTCTTATCATCTCCATGATTTCATTTCAAATTACAAATGCCTACAATCCGTATAAATATGGACCTATCGGTTGGGCGGTTAGTTTTTTAAATTAATTTTTTTGAAGAATAGAAATAGAATAATAAGTAACTAGAGTATCCCCCCCCCCCTCTCCAGCAAATTTTCCATGGTTTACAAAATTGTATGTTTTGGCGGATTTTTGAGCAAAAACTCAAAAAATTTCCTTAAAACTTATTAAATATTATTCATCTTTATCTTAATGACTTTTTCTCAAAAATCAACAAAATATTAAAATTTTAGAAAAATACCCCTTATATGTACATATGATACTCTTTGATTTTAGATGCAATATTTATTTTTTTAGCCACTGAATAAGACTATTATTAAGTTTATGAAATTGGAAAGAAACAGATCTTCGGACCCAAAGATTTATAAATTTATTCCTTTATTTATCCGTTTTTTTATCCGTTTTAAGATTGCGCTAGGAAATTTAAGATTACGCTTCGGATTTTCGCGTTTTTGCATGAGCCTAGTTCTCGCTTCTTTTAACTAGAAAAATTTAAAAGGATTTGCCTAATAATTGATGTCAATACTTAGCTAAGGGTTTTAACGTCTACAGTTGTTAAAATCACAAGCTAAGAACACTAATTTAGTTGGTGCACAAAGGCGACACTGGAGGCTATCCTGTAAGACAAAGTGGAGGATATGGATATGGTAGAGCTACTGGAGGATATGGTCAGACTAGTGGGGGATATGGATATGGCAGAACCAGTGGATATGGATATGGAAGACCCAGCGGAGGGTATGGATATGGAAGACCTAGTGGAGGATATGGATATGGCCAGACTAGTGGAGGATATGGCGGAAATAATTATGCCAATAGTTTTGGATACCCTGCTGCTAGTCCCAACGGGTACCCTCCCGATTATGCACATGGAAGACGTTGAAAAGGTTGAAAAGTGAAAATACGAAAGACAAATTTAGAAAGCGAGAGACAAAATTCTGTTAAAAGATGAAACTGGCAACCCCTGTTATAACCTCTAAGATTACATTTTATAAAAAATTCTGTAAAATTCTATATATAGTGAAATAGATAAATTAATGAGGATTCGAATTTTTAGTTGTTTGTCGAGTTTTCTTGAAATGTCGTGTTTTGTTAAAACATTAAACTACAGTTTAAATTTGGGTATTTTATTAATATTTATTCTTAAAATTATTTGTATATTCAAATAAAATATTTAATATGAGCAAATGAGGCAAAAAATCATTCACTATTAAAATAAAAAAATATTTACAAAAATAATTAATAAAAATAAACAAGAAAGAAAGCACATTTAAAAACCGCTATTTACAAGAAAAAATGAAATTAAATTCACGTCAGGTATTCATAAATTATGAATACTTAAGAGAAAAATTTTGGAGTATGATGAAAATGAAAGAGTAAAATTATGATAATTTAGAGTTAGATAGGTAATGGGAAATCTACCGGAGAAGAAAAATGGAAATTTACAAAAAAAAATCTACCTTTATATTGAAGTATTTTAATATTAAGTAGGAGAATTAATATATGTATTTAAGTAAAAGATTGAGAAAATTAAAAAAATTAAATGTTATTTTGTGTTTTTATTTTTTCATTAATATTTTCCTCAGCTCCACTTGTATTTGTAGATGCTTCATATAATGTAGAAAGTGATTCGTGATAATTATGTATTGTTGTTTGTTGTTGCTCTTTTTCTTCGTTTTGTCTTTTATTTTCAGAACTTCTTGAAGTTGGAGATGATGAGGAAGAGTTTGGACTTGCTTCTGAAGAAGAGGTAGAAGAGGAAGAAGAACAACTAGCAGCATTATTATTATTTGGATTTTGAGTTGTTTTAAGACCCTTAAATAGAAAAAATTGAAATAAAATACAATTCTGAACAAACAAAATAATTTTAAAAATTAATTTTAGTACATTTAAAACATCCACTTTTTGTTTTTTAATATCAGAATCAGGTGGAAGTGCTATCATAAAAGGATTAACAACACTACTTCTACCACTATTACTGCTATTAGAACTACTATGTCGTTTAGATAAAGGACAAGCTAATTGAGTGCCATCACCATCAAAAGGTGTTATCTTTAATTGAAAATGAAAGTTTTTTTGGATTTTTTTAATTTTATTTTTCTACCTCACAAGGGGGCCCAATAAGTGACAAAAGTACTGGCAAAAGAGCTAAACTAAAATTTAAAAAGAAATATTTTGATTAAAAAAATATTTATTTAAGTACCCATTAATTAATCCTATAATAACTAGGGCAGACATAACAACAAAAAAATATTTAACAACAAAATCAAATTCAGAAAAGGCAAGCATAACAATGCCTAAAAGGGTTGAAAGACCACCATGAATTACAGGAACAAACATATGATCCTTTATAGAAAAAATATTTTTATAAATATTTTTCTCAAAATTTCTTTACCAAACAAGAAACCATCCTTTCATCTCTAGTACCTAGAGAAGTAAGGAAAGCAAGAACAACGTGTGCAGTAAATTCAACACCTATTCCAACAGCTGTAATTAAAGTAACTGCTGAAATTGGATTCATTTTAACACCAAATAATCCCATAAATCCAGCTAATTCTACAGTCATCGACACAACAATAATTGCTACCATTGCAGCTGCCCAAGGATTAAACTAAAAAATTTTTTTAAATATTCTTAAAATTTTTAGAAAAATTTTCCTTACAATTATAACAGAGATAACCAAAAGAACTGCCGTTGCAATTGTCTAAAAAAAATTTTTTTTTAATTTTTCTTAAAGATTTTACCAAAATTGAGACAAACAAATAAAATGTTAATTGCAAATATTGTTCCCAAAATGTGAATGGAATACCAGTAGGATATACAGGGAAACCATCAGCTGTATAACGATCACAAATGGCACGGATTTCTTTAATCTTTAATTTAAAATAATTTTAAAAAAATAATTTTCTTTTATAATTTCACCATTTGAACAATTGCAGGTGTTTCAGTCAATCCATTCATATAAAACGGAATTTGAGAATAAATTAAAGGTTCTGCTTGAGGGACAACACTTTCCTCCTAAAATTAAAAATAAAATATTTTAAAGATTATAAAATAACAAAAACTTACTGAAGGAACAAACCGCCATCCTGGAGGAGTTGGAAAAAAGCCTGCTTGAGAGACATAATACCTGAGAAATAAAATTAATTTTTATTCAAAGAACAAGAAATTTACATCATATTATCTAAATGAAACCAAGCAGTTAAATAATTGTAAAATCCAGCAGAATCGATAATATCCTCAGAATCAATAAGTCGAGTTTGTAACTAAAACAAATCAAGTAGAGCAAAAATAAATATTTATTTACTTTATTAGAACAATTATATTCCTCTCCTCTAGAACAAAGTAATCTTCTAGCCAAGTAAAAATCATCAGCAAGTGTGTAATTAATAGCTAAAGAAGAGGCTGCAATTTGGGTAAGAGTATCAGTTGGCTGAATTCCAACACGTCGGGCTTTGTCTAAATGGGCTTGAAGTGCATGAAGCCAAGAACGCATAAATCTAAATAAAATTGGGATGAAAAGAAAGCGGGGAAAATTTTTTTGGAGTAAGAATTTTTGAGGCAAAAATTTAAATATGTTTTACATCATCCAATAGGCTTCTGGCTTCCCATCTGCTTTGATAACAAATTCAGATTGAGCTAAAAATATTATTTAAATTCCAAAAATCAGTATCAGCTAACCAATATCAGCCCTCAATTGTTCCAATTTTCTTTGTTGTCTAGAATAGTCAACACCCGGTCCCATAGGAACAATAAACATTGGATAGAAACTAAAATATTTCTCTCTAGCTTTTAAAAACGCAGCTGGAGCTGTATCTTCAGGAAGAACATCAGCTAATTCTAAACCAATTTTTGATTGGTAAAGGCCTATACAACCAAAGAGAAACATTGAAGAACAACAGAAGAGAATAGTTGCCTTAATAAAAGAGTTGGTTTAAATTAAATATTAAAAATAAACGGAAAACATTAAAGTTCGAAAAAATATTTTAAAGAATAAAGAAAATTCTGAAAGTAAACAAGAGCTAAGCAAAGGCTTAGCTAAAGAGCAGGATTAGAATGCGACAACGCAGACAGTCACGCTCGGCATTGTTCAACAAATGTTGATGTTCATCCACAGAGTTACCGGGCGATGACTAATGCTTTCTCTTTTATCCTTATGTTTGTTTAACCCCCGCCTAAGCGTTTTAAATAATGCTAGGTGAATCATCCTTATACCCAAAAATTCTGATTTATAAATATAAAAATAAGTAAAATTCTGAATTACCTTAGCAATAGGTTTCCTCAATGTTGGAATATAAACTTCATGTAAAAACCCATTCAATGTCAACCATTTATTTACAAATTTTTTTACATTAAAATTATTTTCTGTTTGTTCACAATTTAATTGTAATTTTGTTTTAAGTGCTGGGCCTGTTCCAAATACAGATTCACTCATTTGTTGTAAATCAATTTCTGATTGATTATTTAAAGAAGGGGAATCAGAGTCTGTTTTGACTAATTGATTTCGGCTGCTGCTTTCTTCCAACTTTTTTAAAAATAATTTTAAATTATTTTAATAAAATAAACTTTTCTTTTCCCAGATGGATGTTGTTCAACAATTTGTTTAGCTGGAGATGAAACATAACGGTAGCAATAATCAACTCCACAAAGCATATCACGATAACCAGCCTTTCTTCTCTTCAAATCTAGGGCAATAAATGCTGGATAGAGCATTATAATACAGAGAACGTTGGATGTTAATAGAATGGCGGTCTATTGAAAAATTTTGAGAAAAAAATAATTTATTATCCACCTGTCCACAAAATGACCGAAGTGCCGGTATTGGTAAAATACAACCAGTTACAAAGGCAAGAATGTTGTTGATAGCTATAAAATGATTTTTGATTTTAATATTTTTTAACAAAATTTACAAGTTATGAGGATAGACATTCCTGTCTCTTTAAGTAATACAGCCACTTCCTTCTCTTTAACAGCTTCTAATACATCATTATAATTATGAAGTAAAAGAAACATATCATCTATACCAAGCCCCAAAGTAAGAAAAGGAACAATCTTTTTTTTAATTAAAAAATTATTTTAAAATTAATTTAATCAGAACTTGAGTTGTTGCAGCATTGAAATTAATTCCCATAGCTGTGGCAACTCCCAAACCCGCAACTGAAGCAAAAGTAATCTGAAAAATTTTGGCTTTAATTTATTAGAAATATTGAGAGACAACGGAAAAATAAAAAATCCTATTAAAAGATTCTCTTAAGAAATTAGGAAAAAAAGTGTAAAATGATAGGATTCCTTCCATAAAATAATAATTGAAAAATTACCATAAGTACACCAACAACAGCTAATAAACAACTAGAACGTGAAGAAAACCAAAATCCATCCCATTGTAATTGAGACCAACCAGCATAAATAATCATTAAAATATATCCTATGAATATTGTGCCGAATTGGAATTCGCTGAATTGTTCTAACCTGAAAAAATTTAAAAATTTAAATAAAAATAAAAAAAATCAAACATTTCTGAAATGGAAGTGGACGCTAATGGATGGACAACACGAATGCCTTCACTCTAAAAAAATAAAAAGATTATTTAAAAAATCTAAAAAACCGGTCTATTTAATTCATGTTCATATAAACGTTTAGTAAAGCTTCTTTGCCATGTCTGAATAATAACAGAAGCATGGGTTGTAGTAAAATGATTTTTGTCAATTTTAGTTTTATAATTTGGTGATTTAGCATGCTAAAAGATTAAAAAAGAAATTTTTAAAAATTGACAAAAATTCTACAGAAATTCTGTGTTGAACATCTCCAGCTGAAGCAACTAAGAAAACTGTTTGGAATCCTTCTGCGTGTCGAATAAATCCGTTAGAGTCTCTCTCAATTCCACCAACAATTAAATCTTCTGGCCAGTGCATTACTTGAAAGAAAATTTAAAAATTAATTTTTAAAGAAAAAAATATTGGGAAGAGAGGAAAGGCTAATTGAGATTTTAAAATAAAAATTTAGTAATAAATCTTTAATATCATTTTAAATAAAAAGATACGGCTATTTTTAACCAAACTTTAAGTTAAAAACTCTTGTTTCTATTTTAAAATAAATTTACTATTTTTTCCAAATCCTTTACATCCACCAGTTAATTGTTCGCCATAATTTGGATATTGAGGTAATATTAATTTATCAGATTCTGACAAAAATTGCATCAATCTAGTTCTATTTTCATTTATCCATTTCATAAAACTAATTCCATATTTGTTACATTCCTCCAACATTTGCCTTTGTAATTTCTTTTCTAAAAATTATTTTTAGAAATCAGAAAAAAGATTTTAATTATCAAAGAATAAATAATAAGATTAATTTTATTTATTTTTTCATAATTAAAAAATTTTCTGACAGCTTATATACAGGGTAATAAAAAAGTAACCGGGCAGTTTATTCGTGGCATAACTTTGTTCAACTCATAAATAATGGGATCAAATCAAGGCTTTATGATAGAGAATTAAACAGGGAATAGATATTATCAAAAATTTTCGAGGTGCCCTCCCTTTGCTCGGATATAGAATTGAAGGCGTACAGAAAAATTTTAGGCAAAAGTTCGCACCACCTTGGGTGTGAGATTTTTTCCCATTCCTGGGCGAGTGATTGACGAAGCGATTGCTTCTTAAATTTTATTTAAAACCTGGTGATTCCGTAGTTTCAGATTTATCATCATCATTATTATCATAATAATCTGCCAAATCATCTGTTGTTGAATTATTTGAGGCATTAGAAAATAAATTTAAAGAATTATTTGTTGCTGTTACTTCTCTTTTCCTTAAAGGTTTTGAAATTTCTTCTTTTTTAGAAATCTGTTCTAATTTTATTTTATTTTGTTCAGGTAAAGCATTACTCCATTCTTTAAATTTTGCATAGGCTTGGCAACGATCAAAATAATTCGGAGCAGAACTTGGACAGTCAGGATCGAGTGGGTCAATGCAAGGGCGGTCCTGATAAGCAGCGCCAATACCTGCCTTAAAAAAGTAATTAAATAAAATTTTACAATATCGGATGACTAAAAACATTTAGGGAAATGTGTAAATTTAAAACTGTCAACTAAATTTATTTAATAATAAATTTAAAAAATAAAATTAATATAAAAAACTTTGGAAACGTTTCAATGAAAAAGCTCACCAGACGAAAATATATTTTTACGTTTTATTTTAAAAAATAGTAAAACTAAAAAATAAATATTTAAAAAATGTTTACCCTTTCAAATAAATCAGAAACCATAGTAACATCAATAAGTGAACGAACTGAATTAAGTAATTTTTCTGGATTTAATGTTTTCCATGAGAGAAGGCCGTTAGAGACTGAAGGAACAAATTGAGCAGCTGGACCTCTAAAGAAATTTTTTTAACTTTCAATATTTTAAAATACTCAACACATAAAGTTTCAAAATAATTCAAAAAATATTTCCAATTAAAAAATAACCTAATATTCATATAATTTAAAAATAAATTAAATAATCAAAAAAAAACAAACAAATCGAGCGGAGGAAAAGGCCCCAAAGGTTTAGAACCTTCCCAAAAACAATCTATAGGTGTTATCCAAACACAAGGAATTATTTGTGCCATTATTTCTTCAATTAATTGTGACAAAACATCTTTTGAAGCTGTGGGAGGTGGCGGTTTGAAACAAATATCCGACAAATACCAAGTCCTAAAATTGAAAATATATAAAAAATTATAAGACAAAGATTAAAATAATATATAGTAAAAACTAAGGGCGCAACCAGGGGGCAGATTTCAGAGGGAGGCCAAAATCAATTTTGAAATAATGGTCAAAAATTTTATAAAATCATGACTTTCAAAGCACTGTTTGTTATCTTATGAAAGGCAAATCACGCCGATTTATCGTAGCTTGAGTAAAAGAATGTCAAGTTTTGTGACCTGAGCGCAAGATAAATGAAATAAATAAAAGAAAGTCAAAAGATATTCTAGAAAGTTTATATTCATTAAAAATGATCCCTTAAATCCACATTCTATCTCCTCGGCATTATAGCATAATTTTTACCAAAAAAAATTTCAATTTTCCAAAATCAATTTTAAAATAATGGTCAAAAATTTAATAAAATCATGAACACTTAAACCCCAAAAAATTTATAAAATATTAAAATTAATAGTTGAAAAAACTAACTCTCCAAACACTTCAACACTATAATTAGCAATTTGTTCCAAAATATTAACATGTTTAATTAACGCTTCTCTTGTAAGCATATTCATATTTGGATGTTCTGGTGTTTGAATTACTACCTTTTTTAAATTAAAAATAAAAAAATTAAAAAAAAATTTCATTAAATATCTATTTAAAAAATTTCAAGGAGAGGGCCAAAAAACATTTAAATAAAAGGAGGATTATAACATTAATTTAATAAAAACCTGAAAACCTCCTCCAAAATTAGCAGAATCTGTTGGAATTTCAGAAACTCTAACGGCTTCCCGTTTTTTATTTTTTCTGTGTTCTTCAGTTCCATTTATTTGTTTTTCTTCTTTTAATTGTTTTTGTAAATAATATTTTTCTTTCGATTTTGGCAAAAATGCCATTTCTTCATCTAATCTACCTCCTTCTAAAAATTTTTTTGAAATTTAATTATTTTATATTTAAATTATTTTCTGATTAATTTAGACTTTTTTTGTCAAAAAAAAAGAAATCAAAATTTGGTAATAAAAAAAATCAAAAAAAGGAAAAGTTGTAGACGTTCAGAAAGAAAATTTAAAAAATTGGTATATAAAAGGTAAAGACAATTTTATTTTAAAAAATTCAAATTCCTTACGTTCTACCCACAATTTAACCAAATCCGTTTCAATTTTAACATCTTTTAGCCAATAACAACAAATTAATAAAATAATAATTCCCAACAAAATAATTGATTTTGGCCATTTTTGAACAAATTCACCCAAATGGAAAAGGGCTTTTTGGAAGAGGGCACGAGAATATAAAGCTAGTCTGTTGCCGTAAGCATTGTCCTAAATTTATTTAAAAATATTTTTGGAGAAATTTGAAAAGAATGATTTTGTTTATAAAAAAACATTCCCAAAAAAATAAATTGCTCTCACAAAATTCAAAAAAATAAAAATTCAAAAGTAAAAATTCCCTAACAGAATTAATTTGTTGCAGGCACATATCTGCATCGCACCAAGATGGATGTTTTGAAAATTTCTTTCTCCATGCTTTTGAAAAATCTGAAGGATCGCTTTTTCCAACAAGTAAATTATCGAAAAACTAAGAAAAAATAAAAATTAAATTAAAAATTGAAGAAAATTACTTTAATTTGTTTAAAATTAAATAATTTAATTAAAATAATAAAAGGAAAATAAAATAAATTTAGAAAATTATTTTTATTTTTTAATTTATTTTTTTCTAACAAATTTTGAGTTATTTCATTTTTATAAATTTTATTTAAATTTTGGAGATCTTCTTTTTTGACTAGCATTCAAAAGGAATAATTTAAATAAATAATTAATTAATTAGGCATTTAAAAAATAATTTTAAAATTAAATTTTAAAAATTAAAAATCAAAAAGTTAGACACTAAAAAATATTTTTCTCTGAATTTAAGAGAAAATAATAGGGTACGGCCCACTTAGTCGCGGGCCACTTAGTCGCGACCACTTAGTCGCGACCACTTAGTCGCCGGCCACTTAGTCGCAGGCCCACTTAGTCGCAGGCCACTTCGTCGCGAAGGTACTTTTTTTCAGGTCGCTTAAAACTTAAATCAAAGGTAATATAGGGGGATTTGGATGTGATATCGAGGGATTGAGCAGTGTAAAGTAGATATAGGGATTGGATATCTGGGGATTTGGCCTTCCAAAACTTGGCATTTCTCACTTGGCCTTCCTAAATTCACAATATTTTCGCCTGCGGCGTTAAAGAGGAATGAGGAATATTTTTGAAAATTTGCATGGATTAATGGGATTTGGAGTGAGATCTGTTGGGATCAGAGCTGCGTCGAAACGAAAAAATTTTCGAAAATCGGAACTCGAAAATCAAAAGAAATTCAAAAATATCGAAACCGAATATCGAAATTTTACGAAAAAATTCGAAAATCGGAAATTCCGGTTCCGGGATACGGAACTCAGACTGGATCCGGTTCCGGTTCCGGTCAAAATATCGGTTCCGGTGCAACACTGCTTTTCAGCTACTTCGCGACTAAGTGGCCTGCGACTAAGTGGGCCTGCGACTAAGTGGCCGGCGACTAAGTGGTCGCGACTAAGTGGTCGCGACTAAGTGGCCTGCGACTAAGTGTCCGTGTCCCAAAATAATAAAATAACAAAATGCCAATTTATTTATTTTTGGCAAGAAATTAAAATAAATTACCGTATTTCCTCTAATACAGCCCCATGGGGCTGTATTTTTCACCTTCCTCTAGAATGGGGCTCTAATTGAGTGTGGGGCTCTATTTACGGAAATACGGTAACTATCTCCTGTGACAAACAAATAAAGAAAAATTTTAGAAAAAACTCGATGCTACAATACTAATAGCTCAAAAAACTTTTTTTTTAATTTACTTTTTACCTAAAAATTTGATAAATTATTTTAGTCTACTTACATTTTTTATTTTGCTGCTTTTTTCTTCTTTCTTTCTTCTCCTTCGACGACATTCACTGCTTCTACCGGTTGTAGTAATTGACATTGTTGTCATAAATGAAGGTTGTTGGTGTTGATGTTCATTTGTTGTGGAATGAACTTTTGTTGTTGAAGGGATCATTTTTAATAAAAAAAATAATTAAATTTTTAGAGTTCTCTGTAAATTAAATAAAAATTTTGTTAGGTGAAAGTTAACACAAAAAATAAATAAATTATTACTCCAATTTATGGACATTCTCGATATAGTTCTCTAATGATTTTAGAATTTTTGGGTAAATAATAGGGAAATTATTACTGAAAATATTTTAAAAAACTCTTGACGGATTTCAGTATATCCCCAAAAAATCGTTCGAATTTTATTTGGTAACAAAAAAGTTAAAAAATTCTTCTCGCTATTTTAAAATACAGCAATAAATATAAACTGGACAACAATAAATAAGTGAATAAAAATAATGAATGGGAATGATTGTGTTAGCGGTGATCGGAGAAGAAAAGAAGGGTATTACAAAGGCGTTAGAGGAAGAGAGGGTTATAAAACTTGCTTGATTTTTTGAAGATTTTTTTGTTTTACGTTATAATTTTTTACAAAAAAAATATTTAAAAAATATTTTTTAATTAAAAATAATTTGGCAAAATAAATTAATAAAACAATAATTTTAACTACTAACATAAGAATGGATACTAATATTGAGAGAATGGGAATAAATTTAGGTAATCGGTTATTCTTTTATTCGCCAGTAAGCTTACTTAATTAAAACTTCAAAAATATCACTAACCTACAAAAATAGGCCAGCCTAAAATATATTCCCTCTCAATAGACTAAGTTAAGGGGTCCACCCAAAACAAAAAATCATAAGTCGATTTTTTGTCATGCCGTCACGTAAAGCTCATTCTTTTATTAATTTACAGCCCTAAAGCTAATATTATTTAATTTAAAAAATTTCTAGGCTTACAAAAATACCAAAATAAAATTTTTTGATGAGAAATTGATTGATTTATATTATTATTATATCCCTTTCGTTGTATTTTTTGAATAAATAAATATTCTAAATAAATCCAATTCACCAAAAACTCCCCGAAAAATCTTTTTTTTCTTCTCTCTACCACAAATTTACACACAAAAGCCGCCGCCATTCACAAAAAATCCTTTTTTAAATAATAACTACCTGGTTTAAAATATATTTTTGGATATTTTGCGCTTCTTTTTTTCCTAATATTTTTTCTAATGACCCGGATCGGCAACTAAACAAGTAAAAAATAAATAAATTGATAACAAAAAATAATAATGATCAAAAATGATATTAAATAAAGAGTAAGTATTATTAAATATTTAATTAAATATAAGTTTAAAAATTTAAATAAATTTAAATAATATAAGGGGTTAAAAAAGGATTTTTTAAATTAATAATTGATCCCAGATCTGTGCATGGATACGGATTTTGGTTTCCATATCCGTATCCATATTACAGGTCTGATTGATCCAAAGAAATAGTATGGAAGAGGATTTAATTCCTCATTTTTCCTTCCTTTCACACTTTACTCCTAAATAAACTCCCTTTAATTTATTTCTTATTTAAGAGTTATTTTTCGTCTTAGTTATAATTTTGAAAATTTAAATTTTAAAAATTAAATAAATATTTTATATGATTCAATGTATATTTACAACAGTTGTATATACAACAGTTGACAAAAATGACTAAAAAGAATTAAATATTTATTTATTTATTTTTTGGATTGCGAAGGAATTTTTATTAAAATATTAGAAGTGACTAAACACTAAAACAGTAAATGATTGGCGCCATTACTTCTAGAAAATATAAATTAATTAGTTGTGATACTTTCTTTAAATATATTTTTTGTTTAATTAGAATTCTATTGTTGTTTAGCTATGTATATATTCACGTAAAGTATTTGCAACTTAAAAACTTCTTTTCAATTTTTTTCTTATTAATAATTGACCTCTTCACGCAATATACAAAAAGTAAAAAAATAAAAAATAAATTAGATATAAAATACCCATATTCTATTTTATAATAAAAAGAAATAAAAATATTTAAAGTTATATTTAAATGTAATCATTTAAAACGTGGATTTTTAGTAATAAAATTGAGTATTTTTTGAGCAATATTTGGTTATATTTTTAGAATAATATTATTTTTAAATTTATTTTAAACGGAAAAATAAAAAGTTTTAATAAAATAATTTCTGTTGACTTTGATTAATAATTTAAAAATTAATTTAAAAAAATAAAATAAAGATTTAACAAAAAAACAAGGAGAAGATTCTGTCCTAGATATTTAGAGTTTTCAAATAAGGAAAAATTTTAATGATTAATGACACTCCTCATTCACATACTAAAACACTAATTTTTCAATTAATAAAACTCTATATATTTTATATAGAATTTTAAATTAATTTCTGATATCCGTATAAAAATAAAAATGCTATAAAAAAGTATTTTTTCGAATGAGCGGTAAAATAAAATAACAAAAAGAAATAAAAACTAGAAAGAAAAAATCCTTTAATGGTTGCATGATTGCGTAAATAGTTATGTTTTTTAGTTAACTTTAACTAACTAAATACATACTATTTATACAAAAAAAGGTAGAAAAATTAGGAATTTAAGGAAATTTTTAAGGGAAAAATTTAAATAATATATTTTAAAATTTTTAAATTAATTTTATAATAAATTAATAAATAAATAATAAATAATATTTTGTCTAAACTCTAACTAGAGTAGCTCCTCAAGCCTTCGGGGTTCGGGTTAAGGTTTTTGTCAAAAAATCGTCAGGGTCGGTGTACGGGGGACGGGTGCTACCCTAGTCTAAATCTAGATTAACAATAAATAATCGAAAAGTAACAAGGACTGAAACTGCTCGGGGCCCTACTTTAAATACCTAATTTAAATCTCTTGTAAAATTTTTTGTGTTTATTTTCAAATTTTTCAAAAAAAAATCCACAAAAATTAAACAAAGAATTCTTCCCCAAAATTCTAAAAACTTTTAAATAATTTTGGATAGAAAGAATGAATAGGTATATGTAGGTATATATGTATTATTTAGTCGCAGAAAAGTCGTGTAAATAGCGCAAAGCGGAACCGCCGCCATCAACTCAACAATGTCGTCGCCAATGTAAAACTTTATATAATTTGAGTTGATAGACAGGAAATGAGTAATGAATGAATGTAGAAGAGAAGTAGATTTTAGAAGAATTTTCAGGTAAAAAATTTAAAATTAAAGGTTAATCTTTAAGGGAAAATTGCCCACTTTATTCAGATTTAAATAAAACTTTTAAACAATTAATCCCCCCCCCCCTCCAAAATCAGAATTACCAATTTATTTTTAACAAAAAAAACAAAAAAAGCAACACCAAAAACATTTCCCCATCAAAGCAACAAAACAAGCAAAAACAGGTAAAAAGCAAAAATAACATTACTTCCTTACTTCCTTACATTCACCAAAATTTCCCGCAGAGAAAAAGAAATAAAAGAAAGCTTTTTTTTCATTAAACTAACAAATAAATAAATAAAATTAAATAAAAATATTTTTATTTTTTATTTTCTTTTTATTATTTAAATATTTTATCTATATATTTCTTTAAAAAAATAAATTTGTTTGTTGCACAATGATAAGATGAAACTTAAAAACTAAAAACTTAAAATTTACAAAAATTTTTTAAATCAAATTTTAATTTATTTAAATTATTCTAAACTTAAAAATAAGCTGAATTTTTGTAATTAAAATTAATAAAGATTATTTTTGTAATAATTTCCTAATCTAATGAAGAGAAAACGTTTTTATTTAAAAATATATTTTTAAATAGTTAATTATAAATTTAAAAAAATTTAATTAATGATCTAATAAAATTTTGTGAGAATAATTTTTATTTAATTATTCTCTAAATTATTTTAAAAAAATTTATTAAAATATTTTTCGCAACACAAAATATATTTATTTTATAAATCTCGTTTTTTTGGAATTAAGAACATTCCTTTTTTGAAAAAAGAAAGATTTAATCTAAAAATATTTAATCTAAATAAAAGATTAAATATTATATATTTTTAGAAAAATAAATTAAAATTTTGAGGATTTTTATATAAATAAATATTTTTTTTTAAATAAAATATTAAAAAAATATTTTTTGTATTATGTGACCACATTGTTAGGAATTTTTAGAATGATTTTATTATTATTAAAAATAAAGGGACGAAGAATGACCGCCAAAATAAATTTAAAAAAAAGTAAATATTTTAATAAAAATAAAAATTAAAAGAAAATAAAAATCAGAATTTAATAAAAGAAAATAAATAGTCAAATTTTTTGATGAATACTTTTAAAAATTTTAATTGGTAATATAATAATTGATAATACTTCGGTTTAGACCTTCAATTCCATAACTGTTCAGAATCATTAAATCTTGCCGATAATGGTATCATTGACCCAGCTCGAAGAGGTCTTTTGAATGATTTATAAGAAAGTATATATCAAGCAAAAAAAAAGCACAAAATGGTCAGCGAAACAGGAAAAAAAGTAAAGGCTCTAAAGCAAAATATTGCCCTTAAATTTTAGAAAATTATTTAAAAAAATTAAAAAAAAACTAGAATATTCAATTTATTTCAAGAATTATTTTCACGCCTTTAAAAATAATTATTATACCCTTAGGGTATATTTAATTAACAAAAAAACAACTTTTTAGATTGATCATTGATTTTTTATAAAATAATTAATTATTTGAATTGACAATAAATAAATAAATAAAAATAAATTTTTTGATTGAAAAAAAGAAAGCTTTTCTCTTTTCTCTCTTAAAAATCGCCGCGCGATTTTCTCTTTTATTTTCTCGTGAAGCAGGAAATTGTTTTGAGGGATTTTATATTGGGGGATAAAAATAAATAGTTTGGGGATATAAGAGTGAAAGCAGGATGTAAACAATTAAAGGAATGGAAGGGGGGAGGGGGGGGGGATTTTATTGTTGTTAGGAATAAATAAATATATACATATTTTTGTATTTTATTGGTAGAGAATGAGGGGGGGGGGGTGGGGGTGGGGAGGGAATTAAAATATTTTATTTTTTGGAGTCTAATAATTTAAATTAAGAATAGGTAAACTATATAATAGTTTTGCCAAAGTATTTAAAATAAAAAATTAAAAAAAAATTTTTTTTATTTATTATTCCAGCAATACTTATATATAATCAACAGAAGCAATCTCATAAGAAAAATTTTTAACGAGAAAATAAATTTATATAAAGGATATATATTTGGGGGAAAATATTTATTTATTTTTATAGAAAAGATTTAAATATAAATAGATTTTTAGAAAATGAAAGAGAAGGGAGGATAAATAAATACACGCTTTGAAAATAATATAGTAGATAATCAGCGCGGAACAACAAGAAAGTTTAGAAGGGAATAAATAAATTTAAGAAAAGGAAAAATGTGGATGATTAAATAAAAAAATAAATATTAAATTAATTAATTGAAGAAAATGATGATTGAATGTAAATAAAAATAATTGTTTAAAATAAAGATAATAAAAGGCTTAAATTCAATCCCCTGACTTCCAGTCTTTCCATTTTTGGAAATGGAAAAAAAAATTTTCTAATTTTACAAGTTTAAGTAAGAAGATTGTCTAATAAAACTTCTTGCAATTCAAAATATGCCAAGATGGATCTTCAACTTTATATTTTTCAATGGGTCTCCTCAGATGGGCCTATATTGGAGGTGGGCTTCTACAAGAGGAGGGCTTATATTAGAGTATTTACGCTATATCGAATGAACAAAAAATACGCAAAACAAATATATTTATTTGAAAAACGAAAAATATACAAACAGCACATTTATTACAATAGGGAAATTAGAAAATACATTACAACTGAATAGGAAGGAGTGATCACTTTTATTATCGGGACAACAATGGAGATAACTATCAGTACATCACTATATCTTACAGCATCAACTAACCCGCCGGCTGGAACACTTGGAACGAGCAGCGCAAGTTCTCGTCGATGAACATAGTTGCGCCGGCGTTGTTATACTGGGCGGCGTAGTGTGGCGCACTGAAGAGCGTGATGAGCTTCCTGTTTGCGAAGAACTCTGCACCGTCTTGCACAACCTAAAAATAGGATTAAATGTATTTACTGCGATAATGGTCGAATGTTAATTATAGAAGTACCTGATGAGCACGCACGACCAAGTCAATGTCCAATTGTCGGCAAATACGAGCGACAACGTCTTCGCCAAACATGACACTTGCACCCCGCGGACTTTTCACACAGCCTTGAACACCATTTTCCGGATCGGCCCAGAGCAAGTCGAGCTCAATTGTTGGGTTTGCCGCGTCGAAGTCAGGCACCGGGCGACTGAGAGAGCGCAACTGGTCCAAACTTCGCAGACGATCCGAGATCCCACCGTGCATGCCTAAAGAAAAAATTTAGAAAATGCCTTTTCCCAACTATATATTTACTTACATAGGACTCTCCCGCCAACCAAAGCAGTGAATGGCAGCCAAGCGAACGCTTTGTTGAATGCTATCCAGAGCGATTGAGTGTCGTGTGGGAATCGTCGGCGGATCTCCTCGAGGAACCCATAGACACGGTTGATGTTGCTACATTCATGGTTGCCGCGTAACAGGAAGAAGTTTGCCGGATATCTTGTCTTGTAGGCCAGAAGCAGGACAGCTGTCTCGATGCTTTGACGGCCGCGGTCGACGTAATCTAAGAAAATTTGTTAGAAAGGTTAATAAAAAGATGGTTGGTCCTTTACCTCCGAGAAAGAGGAAGTTCTTCAGCGGTGGAAAGCCAACTCGAGAGAAGATGCGCATCAGGTCAGAAAACTGTCCATGGATGTCACCGCACACGACCACTGGCGGATCGATTTCCACAAGAGACGGTTGAACACGAAGAACTTCAATGGCGCTATTGCACAGAGCTTTGATGTCTGATGCGGTAACCTTAAAAAATTGGAAATTGTTTTTAGCCTGCAAAAGTTTAAAAGGGCAAATAAAACCCACCAGTTGCGTGAAGCGCTGCGAGTTCGTCAGCAAAATGCGCTCGATGAGACCATCCACCTCCGCCAAGGTCATCTTCGGTTGTGCCATTATCCGTTGTGAAGTCTGGAGTGCAAAAGCCAAGTTGAGAAGAGCAGCTGTCGACGTAACAATTGGATCAAGTTGTTGAAGGGTTATCAGTATTGAAAATTCATCTGTTTTTATAGTAGCCTATGTGACTTTATTTTCTGATTTGCCTACATAATATAGATAATTTTTTTAAAAATTATTTTTTTATGCATTTTAGTTTATTTTTTAGTGAGTTATCTCTATTTACAATATGAATATAGAGAGATTAAAAGAGATGGTGTGATATTCAAGGATCTTATGATTCCTTTCAAATCCCCTGATATCACCGATTCGAAATCTAATTTCCCGATCCAGAAAAATGATTTTAGCAGACACATTAATTTTATTTTATGCTTAATAAAAGCTTAAAATTATGTTTTGCATTAATTGTGAAAATTCTATTAAAATTTTGAGAAAAAATTTCCGATGGGCTTATATTAGAAGTGGGCTTCTACTGAGGCTGTATTTTTCAATGGGTCTCCTCGTATGGGCTTATTTTAGTGGCGGGTTTATATTAGAGTATTTACGATATTGTATTATCCTTATTAAAAATTCAAAATTTATTTTAATAAATACATTACTTCCAAGAAAGAAATGTTAAGCATTAACATAAGTCAAAACAACAATTTAAGATAAAATTTTACCAAAAACAATTTAAACAAAAATAATAATTTTTATTAATTTATTACCAAAAATTAAAAAATAAATATTTTCAATTTAAAAGAAACAGTTTTGTCCAAATGCAGCTCTACACAATATATTACCGGCATCAAAGCCTAATCCGGGACCTTAAAAATATTTAATTACATCTAATTTTAAATTTTATTTTTTCACCTCCACACTCGTAATTATCCCCATTTAATAATGCAGGCAAAACATTTTGTTGAATAATTTGTAAATATTTAAATCTAGATTCTCTGTCCATGGGTATACGCCTTCCCCGTCCAGCCATACACCAAAAAGCATAAAATTCGCAAAGTTCAAAATATTCATAATGTTCTCGTAAAAGTTCGAGGAAATTACGTTGAAGACGTTCAATTAATAATTGGTTAGATTCTGATGGTTTTTCATCATTATCTAAAAAATTATTTTTTTAATTTTAAAATACATAAGATTATTAATTTAATATATTTCAAAAATTTTATTTGATAATAATGTGTCGATTATTTTTATAAAACAGAAAATGAAAAAATAATGAGGAGAAGTGGGGTTTCAAATTTTGAAAAATCCGGTTCCTGACATAAGAAATCCTGTTTTTCAGGACACCCTAATTAAAGGCAGTTTAAAAGAAATAACTGAATAGTGTACTCGGTAATTTTAAAATAACAAAATTTAATTAAAATATATCAAAACATAACTAACAAATTTTTTATTTGTTAGTAAAGAAAAGAGAAAATAAAAAATGAAAATATAAAGGAAAAATATTTATTGCTCTTTCTTCCCTAAATTATTTAAAAATATATTATATCACGTCTGAAATAAATAAATAAATGTTTTAAAAATAATAAATACAAAATTTAGATTTTGTTGGATTTGATTGGTATTTGTTTGTCAATTTTTGGGAATGTATTGCTTTTTTTATTGCAATATCTAAATAACAAACTTTGAGGATTTTTAAAATAATTTGAAATGTTTTTTTAATTTTTACTTAATTTTTTCGGAATTTGAAAAAGCAAATTTTGAAGTTTGAATGTATAAAGGCAATTGAGTTAGTAATTATTATTTGAACTTCTCGATGGAGAGAGTAATTAATTAAAGAAGGGGAGAGAGGACAATTTGGTAGATGAAAAATGAATTAAAAAAAATAAATTTTAAACCATCAAAAGCATTAAAATAACAAAAATCTCCAAGTAATTGTGCACGGGACTTTGCATTTAATACATTTAAAGTAGAAGTATCTCCAAGTTCGTGAACAATACGTTCCCAACTTTTTAAGTCATAATTAACTTTATATAAATGATCTAGAAAATTAAAGATTTTTAAATAAATGTAGGGAATTTTAATTTTATTTTTTTAAATTTCTGTTTGAGAATTAAAAGAAGAAAATTAAAAAATTAAAAAAAAATTAACCAAATCCAAGATTTGTTAAAGGCAACAATTTTCTATCAAGTGGCGCTAATTCAAGAACTGAAATTTGTTGGACATGTATTTTCCAAAAAATGTCTTTCCCAAATTACCTTGTGATAACATAAATTTAAAAGGTAAAGAAACATTTTGTATATCAATAGGTAAAGGCCATAAAGGCATTTTAGCCCAATGTTGTATTCCATTTAATAATTGTTGGGATTGTCTGCCATTATTTAATTGAACAAGCCGTAAACGATTGTTATTTTTATTTGAAGATTTTTCCACTAATAAATTTGGTATACCTCCACTTTTAAACCAAAAAGTAAAAACCTTTTAAAAAAAAATTTTTTAGAGATTATTTTTAAGTAAATAAATGGGATGGGCTGATTTTAGGAGCTCTACGGAGCTGTATTGTTGTTAGAGACCGGAATGGGTCGTTCAAGATTAATATCTCGTAAAATCTAGATCTTGAAAAACGAGAGTAATGTTCGAGATTTTGTCTCTATTCGCCCTCTAATTTTTATTCCAAAACCATTTCAATACCAATTGGTAGTCTTTTATAAAAACTAGATTTGGAGAAAACTTTGCCAACTTTTACTTATATTTTCTCGAAAAAATATTTTTGGGTAAAGAGCATATTTAAAATCCACAATTAATACCTGTCCAATATCAATACTATCAATTAATAAAGGTCTCAATAATTCATCTAAATGTTCTAATCTAAAATGTCTATAACGTTGTTGGACTAATAAACGTTTAATAATTCCAAGAATTGTTAATTCACTTTTATTGGTTAAATGTTCTATTGAATTGAAAAATAAAACTCCTTTAAGTGAACAATGAGTTTTGATCTAAAAATAAATATTTTTAATTAATTAATAATTTAAATAATCTTTAATTTTTCAGAGAAACACTCAATTAAATTTTTATATTTGAATTTTAATAAGAACGAGATTAATTCTTAAAAAAATCTTTTATAAAATAATTCTTTTGTCAAAATAGGTATATTAAAATTTGTTTCGGGCCTTATTTCTATCGAATCGAATCTTTTTTGGGCCAAAAATCGAAGCCCGATTCGATCTTTCGAACCAACCCGGGCCAACAACCCTAATTAAAATAATTAATACCTCATCCACTCCGGCCCATTCTGGAAGGGCAACTGCTTCGCCTGGTGCAAGGAAGGTTTCTAAATAAATTTGAAGTTTATTCAAATATTATAGTTTCTTAATTTTTCCTTTTTATTAAAAAAATTTTTTTAAATATATTTTATTCAATTACTTCAATTAATTCTTAATTTAATATACAAAATATAAGTAATTTAATTTACCAGCCAAATTAATTCTTAAATAATGGGCAAGTTGAAATCTTTGCCAAGCTTTGTCACACAAACTAGAACTTGCCAAAATAGAAGGTAAAACACGTTGAACGACCCAAAAATAAATTATTTTTTTAAAGCCAAATCTTTTAATTTATTATTTACTTTATGTGTTAACCATTCAACTATATCTTCTTGTAAACAAAAAATTCCTGCATTTGCTACCTTTAATTGTTTAAAAATTAAATTAAAATTCACCCCAAAATAAGTCCCTGTATATTTGACTAAAAACCCAAGAATCTCTTTGTAAAAAATAAAATTATCGGAAAACAAGGGTGTGTGTTAAACACTATTATTAACCCCAAAAATTACCCCAAAAAATTCAAAATCAAAAATTAATTACTGTAGTCATTCCCCCCAACCATTGCCTAGCAAATTGTCTAGCTAATAAAGCAATTTTATGAGCCTGATCAGCAGCTTCCCATTGAATTAAAGAAATTGTTATTAATCCAAAAGAATGTGTAGAATCTGTGTCTTTTTAATTAATTTTTTAATAAAAATTAAAAAATAAATTAACTATTAAAATCATCAATAATTAATAAATTTAGAGCATTTAAAGGTAAACGTTCATTTCCTAATAAAGAAGATATTGCTTCAAATACAGGGCCAGATATTCTAAAAAAAGGGGAAAGAGAAAATTATTTTAGAAAAATTAAATTAAAAATATTTTAAACATTTTAATAAATTAATTAATTCGTTTATTAATATCTTCCAAAAAATGTGGATTATTCCTTTTAAACAAAGAATCTTTTATTCCAAATATTCTTGGTCCATAACTTTAATATCATCTCCTAAATGAGTTCGAAAAAATAATGGGTTTGTTTAAAAAATAAAATTTTAATAGAGATTTTGATCTTAACTATTTAATACGATATAATTAGAGACAGGATTTTTAGGCACGATAAAGTTAAAAATAGGCGCCTATATAGGCACTAACAAACTGCCAAAATAGGCACCAAAATCCGAAAAAAAGGCAAAATAGGCAGTATTTTTTCGAGATTTTCTGACTTATATTGACTAAATTTTATCAAAAATGATAAATCTAAGCAATAAGATGTTAAATAAATTAATTTTGACGATCAGAATTACATATAAATTAATTTATATTAATTATTTTGTTTCCAAAAATAATTTGATAAATTTTTCAGAAGAAAATTTTTCGCAAAAAAATTTTTTGACAAAAATTTTTTGGAAAAATTTTATATTTTAGCAAAAAAAAATTTTTTAGACGAAAATTTTCTCAAAAATGCCCAAAAATTGGCAAATTTTAGTAAAAATATGCAAAATAGGCTGGAAAAAGGCAAAATAGGGCATTATGCCAGAAAAAGTTAAAATAGGCAATTTTAGGCAACGATAAAAGTTGTTTGAAAGCACATTTCTTAAAAATAACGCCTGATTTGGACGTTTCAGCATCAGGCCTATTTAGGAAAAAAACAGGCATTTTGCCTAAAATCCTGTCTCTAGATATAATATATCTTTTTTGAGGAAGAAGGGAGAGAAATGTATGTATATTCCTTCCTATCCTCTTAACATATTTAAACAAAAATATAAAAAAAATATCAGCTACTTTGCCAATTCTCGTTTCAAAATAGTTGTATGTAACAAACGATTTGTCCAAATAAATAAAGGTGGTTGTGTTTGAATTAATGTCTAAATTTTTAAATACACAATTTTATTTCTTTTTAATTACTCTTTCATAAACAGAATCAGGCAAAACAGCAATTCCAATTAAATAAGCAGCTATATTTGGGGCTTGAACAAAACGTGTAAGTCTCCTTTAAAAAATTATTTTTTTTTCCTTTAAAAAAATAAAAATAATTGCCAATGTTCATTTAAAGATTCTGTTGGGCCAAGAGGGTGCATACTAGACAAAGCTGTTGTCCCGTGAGGGTGAATTAAAGAAATCTAATTAATAAGAAACAACAATCATTTTTATTTATTTTTAAAAATTACTTTAGTTGTAGTTTTCTGTAAAGGTCCACCCAATTGTGGAAACAAAGAAGGCGAAAATTCAAAGAAAAAATTACTTGCTAATAAAGGTAATCCTCCAGCATCTCTATAGAATAAACCTTTATTGTAAGTAATTATACCCTTTAAATTTATTTTTTAAATTTAAACTCTTCCAAAAAATATTTACTTCAAATCTTCCAATATTTAATATATAACGGCCAGTCAAAAGTTTTTTATTTTCCCTTCCTCCTTTTTCCTCCCGAACTAAAAAGTCAATTTCCCATGGAGGGCGTAATTCAACATCAACATTAAAATTAATTTCTTCTTCATCTTCCCCATAACGAATTAAAGTAATATTTTCAAATTGATCTAATTTTTGTGAAAGAAATGTTAATTTAATTATTTCATTTTTATTTAAATATTGCTGTTTAGATTCGTATGGGGGTATTTGTCTAGTTAATTGAAATTCTAATTTTGCTGTGCCAACAAATGTTGGAACTAAAGGGTCTTTATCTGAAGCTGTTGGAAGTTGAAATTGAAGGTCATAACTGTGAAAAGATGATTTTTTTGGAAGAGATTTTTTTAATTTATCCCAAATTTAGGCAAATTTTCTAATTTTCTTATTTTAATTAAGATCTTATAATCAAACACAAAAAAACTAATACAACAAAAATTACTAATTATGTATTTTCGAAAAATTAATTTTATCATTGTTGATAGTAACTCTTTTTATAAATCCTAAATAACTGCATAATATTTAACATTACGTATATTTACAGGAGATCAAATTAGGAAACCAAAAATATGTATTCCCCTCCCTCTCCTCCCCTCCTACTTAAAAAAATTCGGTACTATCGCATTATACCGCCACATGTCCGCGAATGTTTGTCCGCAGGTTTTTCCTTTTACTCCCATCCTCACTCTTCTCATAAAGATTAAAGAATGGAAAATATTATATACGATGTTTGTGTTGTGGAAAAACTCATTGGATGGGAGATGGAATAGAACCATCATGGAAAGTTCCCAGACCGAAGCACAACCGACTGTGCCACCATCCAACCCAATGATGGGTTATTTATTTTTCATTATATTCTTTCTGCAAGTGCGGACACAACACTCATTCCACCTTGCGAAACCAAGCGTCCAATAATATCTTCCAATAACTATCAACTGTTTTCGATTTTTGGGAGAGCACACACAAAAACCCATTTGTGGCATTTTTTTCTGGCTCGACACAACTCGTCGAGTTCTATAACATAAGACTGACTGACCATTTTTAATACTTTGAGGAAGGAAAAACTTTTTTCCTAAACTTTTGGACTTTTTTCCTAAAAACCTTTTGAGAAAAGAGAAAAGGAAAACTTGTTATTAATCATTTACCGTTCTTTTAATCTTTATGAGAAGAGTGAGGATGGGAGTAAAAGGAAAAACCTGCGGACAAACATTTGCGGACATGTGGCGGTATAATGCGATAGTACCAAAAATTCCGTTATGGTAACACTAAAATTGTTTTGTTATAAAAAATACCGTATTGGAACAAGATTAGGTAATGGCAATTTAAAAGAAAATGAAAAATTACAAATTATTGTAGCAATAAAATAAATAAAGAAATTAATTAAAAATAAAATTTTAGAAAAAATATTAATAGACATTTTAATTTAAAATAAGGCCAATTATTTATTGATCAGCGCAAGTCTTTAAAAATCTCCTCTTTTGTCAAAAATAAATGTATGGCTATTTAAGTGAAGAGAACTGACCTCAAATTTAAAAAAAAGGGGCAAATAAATCCGATTAATTTAAAAGTGGAGGAAATTAAAGTGAAGAGAAGAAGGGAATAAATGGCCACAAATACATATTTAATGAGACAATAATAAAAAAAAGAGGAACGATTAATTTGAAAAAAAATGTAAAACAAATGAAACATTTACTAATAGGCTTGGGATAAACATACAAATGCATGTTTTGTGTGCGGATATGTCATGATGAGAGAACCCGAAAAATGGTGTTTTTACGTTGGTCCGAGTACTTTAGGACTCAGTTCTTAATGCAAATTTTTGCATATTTTGAGAAATTCTGAATATTTTTATCAAATATTTCATAAAATATACAGAATTCAAAAAATAACTGAATGCTTCAAATTTCTAAAAATAAACGCTATTGATTGGATGAGGTGGATCAAGTTGGATTAGCCAAATCCGGTATAATTTCGGAATACTAAACAGACTCCGATTGGGACAAATTATATGTCATTCGATTCAGCTCGGCGAGCTGAGTCGAATGACATAAAAAAATCGATTGGGACGTAACTATGGGCCGAGATACAGGGCTCGAAATGGTCAAAAACCATAGGGGGGACCAAGCACTTTTTTGGGGTGAAAAATTCGAAAATGCAAATTATACCTCATTCGAAAGAGCTCATCGAGCTGAGTCGATTGACACCAAAATCAACGAAATCTAACTTGATTGGACAAAGTTATGATCTTTTATTTTAGCTCCTTACTTATGGCATCTGTGGAGATTTTTGCTGCTACGGAGGCCCCAAATACGTCCAGAGCAAGGGAGATAGGAATAGGTTTATGTTACGAGCCCAGACCCAGCACCCGTAGACTCCCCGCGAGGCGCGTGCCGCAAAACCCTGCGCGAAGCGCAGGGTTTTGCACAAGCGCCTCGCCGACGCCCCATAGGTTTATGTTGCTTGTTTTTTGTGTTGTAACTTTGTTTAAACTTGTTCAATCCCGGTGATTTTGGTGTCATTCGACTCAGCTCGATGAGCTCTTTCGAATGAGGTATAATTTGCATTTTCGAATTTTTCATCCCAAAAAAGTGCTTGGTCCCTATGGTTTTTGACCATTTCGAGCCCTGTATCTCGGCCCATAGTTACGTCCCAATCGATTTTTTGATGCCATTCAACTCAGCTCGGCGAGCTGAATCGAATGACATATAATTTGTCCCAATCGGAGTCTGTTTAGTATTCCGAAATTATTCCGCCAAATCCTAATCTGAATAAATAGAAATCTGGCTAAATAAAACTGAAACAAGTTCCCTCAAAAGTTCAGTAGACAATTCGTTAACGTCGGCCCGACTCGAAAACGGCAACCCTACTCAGAAGTCAAAATAAAATATAAATTCACGAGTCAATTCGTATTTGTCGTATATATGTAGTTCAAAATAAAATTACGGAGAAAGAAAGATCGTCAGAAGTGAAAGAGCTAAAAAGTTAAATCATCGGAATGCCAGCTTTTAAAATACTATAAAAGCCTTTCTTTTCTTCATTCTACACTTTACCAACAAATATTTCTTTTTTTTCAAGGCAGTTATTAAAACAACGCTTAAAGCAACATCAAAACAACAACAAACAAAATGTTCTTTTATTTAATTCGACAAGAAGAGTTTAAAGACGGTTCTGGAACAAGAAAGTCTTCTTCATTTCTGCGCTCGTCTACTACCAACATTTTGCCAACTCTCTTTGCGTCTTTGGTTTTTTTGTTTCTTCTCGGGCAGGTTAAGGGTGATGATGGTGGTGATGGAATCCCTGTTGGGTTTTTCAATCACACGCTGAAAGATAAAATGGTTACACTTGCTGAGGGAACCGTAGAAGTCAACGAGACCAACCTGGAATTGTTCACGAATCATTCTGGAGCCTGTGAAGTTACTTTTGAAGGCAATTTCATGTGAATTTCCTTGATAATAGTCTTAAAATAAATTTTCCCATTTTCAGCGTGCTCCACTACAAAAGGGAAAGCAGAGCGGCGAGGAAGGGTTGCACAGTGGACTTGCTCACCAACCTTCACAACATGATTTATTTCACAACCGAAGTGAAGCACAGCGATGTGATTGAAAAATGCCTGGGAAAATGCAAAAGATCAAATTTTCTTCACGGAAGTAGTGATAATCTGTAAGTTTTTAGCTAATTAGGGTGATAATCTTTGAATATATTTTAGTTTGCCTTTCGCCTACAGCACAACAGAAGATAGGAACATCATGGAATTAACAAATGGACCAATTTATAAAGAAAACCTGACATGTTATGATAACGTGAAGTGTTATAATAATGGTGGAAGATGTATGCCTTGGACTTCTCTTGAGGTTGCGTGGATCAAGTGCAAAGACAAAGTCTATGCTCACACCCATCCAAGTATGTTAATGGTATTTTACTATTTATCGTGCAATTTTATTTTAGTTGGTGAAGTTGAGGCACACTGGAGAAAACACAAAATGTATGACAATGAGACAGAATTGTTTTTCAATTTGAATGTAACGAAGAATGGGAATTTCATAATGGACTTTGATGGACAAATAATGGACTATTCCAAATCGGAGTATCATGCTGTTTGTGTCCCTGAAGAGGAAGGCATTGCCAAACCTGTTACTTGGGAAATCAAAGGGACACTGCTGAATTCGAATTATACGAACTTGCTGGTCTTCCACATGCTTCCACAAAAAGCATCTCGAAAACACATTGATGGGCAAATCAGAAAAGATGATCTTCCTGATGGTCCAAAGTGTGATGAACTTTCTATCAAATTTGTAAGGATTTTCAATTTACAAAATCTCAAATTTTCCTTTTTCTATTTAGCATGTGGATAACTACATTTTGTTGACCAACGAAGACTTCATCACTCCATCAACAACAACAACGGCGACCACGACTAAGCTTCCCGAACCAACCAAGAGTGATGATCGTGAAGTCCCCTTTGAAAATCCTGAAATCCCTTTTGGGTTTTTCAATCACACGCTGAAGGATGAAATGGTTACTCTTGCCGAACGAGTTGGAGAAGTCAACAAGGACAACATTAGTTTGTACACGAAGCATCCTGGAGCCTGTGAAGTTACTCTTAAAGACAATTTCATGTAAGACTTCTCTAAAATAATTTTGAAATAAATTTGATATTTTCAGCGTACTTCACTACAAAAAGGAAAGCAAAGCGACGAAGAATGGTTGCACTGTGGATTTGCTCTCAGGTCTTCACAACATGATCAAGTTTGAAACTGGAGTGAAGAACAAAGGAGGGATTGTAAAATGCCTGGGGAAATGTTCTTCAGAAGATTTGCCTTTTAATGGAAGCAGTGCCAATCTGTAAGTTTACATTTGTTTCGGAGGATAATATCTTAAAATTTTATTTTTAGTTTGCCCTTCGGCTACAGCACAACAAGAGACAAGAACATCACAAAGTTGAAAGTAAATGGACCGTTGTATAATATGTCTGAAGATTGTCATAATCGGGATGAGTGTGGAAAGTCGGCAGATTGTATGAGGTGGACTTCTCTTGAAGCTGCGTGGACTACCTGTAACGATAAATTCTTTGCTCACGCCCATCCAAGTAAGGATAAATATTGTAATTGCCTTATTTTGATAATTTTTTTAGTGGGCGAAGTTCTAGCCGTTTGGAATACCAGTACAAAGTTCGACGCAAAAGCAGAAAATTTATCCTTCGGATTGACTATAACAGAGAAGGGCAATTTCATAATGAAATTTCGTGGACAGAAGATGAACTATTCCAAATCGACCAAAAAAGCTCATTGCCTCCCTAACGACACGTTCGTAGCCGAGCCTGTTACTTGGAAAATCAATGGGACAACGCTAAAGCCGAAACACAACAACTTGCTTGTCTTCCATATGCTTCCACAAGAATCGGCGCGAATCAACAGTGGTGACGAAAGCAATATAAGGGTACCTCCTAAAGGACCAGAGTGTGATGAACTTTTTATCAAATTTGTAAGGATTTTCAAATTCTTTTAAAATTTCAAAATTTTTCCTTTTTCTATTCAGAATACAAAAGACTACACTTTGTTGGGACAAAAGGATCCACTTCCAACAACAACAACGTCACCACTACCGCCAACAAAGACCGGGACCACCACACCTAAAAGGACTTCAACATCAAGATAAAAACCTCAAACCACGACAACAACTAAAGCAACAACCACATCTGATCCTGGTTATGGAAACTTCACATTCATTGCCACGACTACGTTCATTGTTGCTTTTTTGATATTCGTTGGTGGCACATATTGCCTTTATAATGTCTCCGCTGACTATTCAAAGATGGATAAAAGATTCTTGCTCCGTGGAGAACTTCATGATATAGAGATCGCGCTTATCCTTCGTCTGGGCTTCTTCGTTACAAGCTTCTTGGTGCTAATTTCTGGCTGCTTCAAAGTTATGGTCTACCACATGGATGCTTATACAATCTACCAAACGCCTCCATACATCCACTACTTAATACCAATCTCAATCTTCATTGGCCTTCTTCTAATTACTTCAATCATCCATTGCTACTACAACCACTTGAAGAAGAGAAACCGACGGATGATTGAGGAACGCAAAGGAGAGGATCGAAGGGAGGCTCGCCGCCAGGATGCTTATGCACGAGCTGCTAGGACTATGGCAAGAATGAAGATGGAAAAGATGAACGTGAGTTTAAATTTATTTAAAAATCCAAAAATTTCCTCTCTTTTTCAGAAATACTATGGACAATCTTCATCTCAAAACAACAATTCTTCGAATATGAACAAAAATTCTCAATATAATTCGGATCTTTTGAGCCTCGAAAGGGACAGCGATTTGTTGGAGGATGATGATAATACTGCTATTGAGATCTTGAAGACGGGTGGAAGTTTGGCTGGAACAGAGGAACCAAATGAAGGATGGGCTGAGGAAGTGAGTCGAAAAATGAATTTTAAACTGAAATTTTTTGTTTACTTTTTAAGACTGATCAGCAGAAGAAGAAGAGTGTTGTTCACGAACCGGCGGGAATTAACTGGAAGGCGGCAGAAGAAGCAAAGAAGAAGAAGAAAATTAAGAAGAGTGAGAAGAAGAAAAGATTTGGATAGGATATTTCACCAAAATAAATAAAAAATAGGTATCCCCTTCCTCAAAAATAAATATTTTCCTATAAATTATTGTATTTGTCCTTATATCTGCCTGTGATAATCATTATTTTTCTGTAGTTGTAATAAAAGTTTGTTGAAACTTGACAACCTTCTGTTTCTCATTAAAAATCAGAATTTTCTGTTTAAAATTAAAAATTTCTGGATTCTTTAATAAGAAACACAGAAAATCAGAAAATAATCTAGTCGAAATTCTGAAATAAAGAATTTATTCTTTTTTTTGTCGATAGGAGCAAAAATACCCCGATTTGTCCCACAAACGTAAACAAAATCAGAATTACAAGAAATAAACACTACAGAATAAAATTATTAAAAATACAATATCAGAATTTAAAATCAGAATTTGCGAACACATAAAATCAGAGTTCCTTAAACCAGAAAAAGATAACAATAAAAAATAATTTTCTTTATTGCAAAAATACATAAATATTTAAAAAATAAATTTAAAACAAAATATTTCAATCATTAATTAAATCTTCGTCTTCAAGATGAGGTAGAGGAGATGCAAATCCGGCAGGTATTCCACCTCTAGCTTTGATAATTTCAGAAAGTGTATTTGGAAATAATGAAAATACCTAAAATTATTTTTAAAAAGTTTTTTTGGCTGTAGTTTAGTCGAGGGCCTGCACCGAACCGGGTCAAATGATATGTCAATCGATTCGTCTCGGCGAGCTGAGACGAACGGTACCACTCTCCAGGTGCGGAAATGCCTGTGGACCGAGATATAGGTCCTTGAAATTTGAAAAACCAAAGGGGGGAGTAAGCACTTTTCTGGAGTGAAAAATTCATTTTTCTGAAAGATAGCTCATTCGAAAGAGCTCCCCGAGCTGAGTTGAATGACACCAAAATCACTGTGATAGGAAAAGTTTGGGCCGAGATATGGGGCTCGAAATGGTCAAAAGTCATAGGGGGATTTTAGGGTCAAAAATTTGAAAATACAAATAATAGCTCATTCGAAAGAGCTCGACGAGCTGAGTTGAATGACAACAAAATCAGCTCGATCTGATCATTCTGAACAAAATTATGATCAATTTAATGTTCGCTTGAATAACTGTTTTGGTGGTACTACGGAGGTTAGGTCGGCATTCAAGGCTGAGAATCGGTAAAAAGGAATAGGATTAAGTTACGAGCCCAGAACCCAGCGACCGTAGACTCCCCGCGAGGCGCGTGCCGCAAAACTCCGCGCGAAGCGCGGAGTTTTGCACAAGCGCCTCGCCGACGCTCCATAGGTTTAAGTTGACCATTTCGAGCCCCATATCTCGGGCCAAACTTTTCCTATCACAGTGATTTTGGTGTCATTCAACTCAGCTCGGGGAGCTCTTTCGAATGAGCTATCATTCAGAAAAACGAATTTTTCACTCCAGAAAAGTGCTTACTCCCCCCTTTGGTTTTTCAAATTTCAAGGACCTATATCTCGGTCCACAAGCATTTCCGCACCTGGGGAGTGGTACCGTTCGTCTCAGCTCGCCGAGACGAATCGATTGACATATCATTTGACCCGTTTCGGTGCAGGCCCTCGACTAAACTATATCCGTTTTTTTTGAATTAAGACTTAATGGAGGGAAAATTTCAATTACAAAAATTTTATTTTCAAAAAATTAAATAAAATTATTTTTAAATTAATTTACTTTAAATCGTGCCCCCATTTCAGCATCTGATACAAGAATATTACAAGAATTAAGCAAAGCTTCACGTTGTTCTGTTGTTGTTGATTTTCTAAGTAAATAATCCAATCGATGTATAAGTCCAAGTTGGGTTAGAAATTGCCTTTAAATTAATTAAATTTTATTATTTTTTAAATAAATTATTTTTAAAATTCACAAATTCTTTACATTTTTCGTACTTTATTCCGAAGTTTACGAGAAAATTTCGAAACCCTATATTTCCGAAAAATTTTCAAAAAGCATAATTCAATTAAAATTATCTTTTTAATTTAAAAAACCTTTGTTCGACAGGTCCAAAAATTAAACATTTTCCTTCAATAACCCTTTTAATTTCCCCAAAATCAACATCTGCTGTTAAATCAACTCTTCCTGGACAATCTAATGGATCAACAATTGAATGATTTGAATAAGCACGAAGTGAATGAGTTTTTCTATCTCCATTGTGTCTAAAAATGTTTTTTTTATATTTTAATTAAAAAAATTTTTAAATCAGTTTCTGGTGAAGAAAGAATAGAAAATAAAAAAATTTTTAGGTATCTAACATAAAATCTCAAAGGAATTTATCCAATCAATTCTACAAGTTTTTTTTTGTTTTTTCCTAACTTAATTTGAAAATTAATTTAAAATTAATTTACCCATAATCTATAATTAAAGCAAAACCTCCATTTGTTGTAAATCTAAAATTAAAATTTTTAAATAAATTAAAAACAAAACTTTTTAATCATTTCAAGTGTAATTTTAGTTGCCAATGGACTATATTCCCATTTAGTTCTGGACAAATCATTTCTGATATTTTGGGGGATATATGCACGGGTATGGATATTTTCACCTAAAAAACAAAAATTAGTTAAAAGTTAAAAAATAATTAAAATTAAAGATTTTTTAATTTTAAAGAAAAGGTACTCAGGAAGTGTAATTAAAAATCAAACTAATTCGAAAAAATGTAGTGCTCACAACCTGGGATATAAAATTAAAAAAATAGACACTTTCATCAATGATATTTTAATTAATTTAAATTAACTTAAAATTTCCAAAAAAATAATTATATTCATTAAAATACCTGGAGATAATCCAAAACACAGATGTTTTTTAGTTAATATTTGTCCATCTTCTTCATCTATCTCAACACTTCCATTACTAGTAGTTAATTGAATATAAACTTCTTGCCAAACATTTGGTTTTTCTTTATTTCGTACAAATTGGTGGATGGGTAAAGCATCGAAAAATTCATTTGAAATAAATATTGTAAACTAAATTTATAAAAATAATTAAAATATTTTTTTACAATTTCTATAGAAAAATAAACAAAATTAATTTTTGATTTATTGTTAGTCAGTATAAGATTTAAAAAACCGAAAACTTGTGTGTGTTTTAAAAAATCAAATGCTTTGTGGCTATTCGGGAACCTGGTCATTTTTAAAATATTTTATAGTCAAATTAAAATACTTTAAAATTTAAATAATTTAAATAGTTTAAAATTAAAAACCCCTTCAGGAATATCTTCAATAGAATCAAACCAATTAATAGAAATTTGTTTATTCAATAATTGTTGTTCAAATATTTGTTTTTGTTGTTTAATTAATTGTGCTGATTTTTCGATTAAATAGACATTTAATTTATTATCAGATTTTAATTTATTCAAAACATTTAAGACATCAACCATTAAAGCTCCAGAACCTGGACCTAATTCAACTAAATTCCAAGGCCCTTCCCATCCTGTCATATGTAATTCATTTAATAACCAGGCACCGATCTAAAAATAAAAAAATTCTTTAAATAAATTTTAAATTGGAAAACTCAAAGGAAAGAAATAAAAATATTAAAAAAACAAAAAAAAATAGCAACCCTAGTGCCATAAAAGATTTAAAAAACAGGAAGCCAAAAAGTTAAAAAAGAACTAAATTATAATAAAAGATAAACAAACCAATTCACCAAAAACTTGTGTTAATTCTGGCGAGGTAATAAAATCCCCTGAAAAATAAAAATTAAATAAATTTATTTAAAAACCCCAAACCTTCTCCATCACCAAATATTTTAGCCTAAATAATTTCTTACAAAATAATTAAAATAAAAAAACCTTTTGTGCATAATAACCATATTGTGAAGATACACATAATTTCATATATTCTGAAACACATATTGGACCAGTAGAACGTATTCTATCAATTATAAAACGTTCCAAAACATTTTCAGATTCAAAATTAAATTTTTTAGAAGAAGAGGCTGTTGAGAAATTAATTGATTGTAAATTTTGGAAAAATCGAAAAATATTTTTTTCACATTTTTTTAAAATCAAAGGGCGAAATTGGGGTGCAAACATTCTGAATAAATTGAAGATTTTAAACTAAAATAAATTTCTGAGGAAAAATTAGAAAAATGAAGGGTTTTTTAGCAGAAACCGAACCTTCGAAAATTAATTAATTGCCTAAAAATTAATTTTGCGAATATTTGGCAAATCATTTTTGGTTGGCATAATGTTATTTATTAAAAGGGCAACTTGAACCTTTGTTCGTGACTCAGTTTTGTTTGTTTTTTAGTGTTTTTCGTAAATTTTGGAGGTTTAAAGTTTTATAAAATTAATTAAAATAATTAAAAGATTTAATTAACGAAAATGACGCGAACTTGTCCTTTTTGTAATTCGTCAGAAATTGAAGAAGATGCGGGAAGAGGTGATGCAATCTGTACAGGTTGTGGAGCTGTTTTAGAAGAATCAAATATTATATCTGATGTTCAATTCCAAGAACGTGGGGGTGGACAAGAAGTTATTGGTGAATTTTTAATTATTGTTTAATTGGGTATTAAATTTCAACTTGATATATGGAAAAATCGCTTCTCCCTATAAGTTGTGTGTGGTGAAGTGGTTTATGTCTAGGATGGATATTCGAAGGTTCATGGTTCGATCCTCTTCCTTGGTAGTTATTTATGCAATAAACCATTAGACTCTTGCGTGGCTTTGTAAGATATATTCGCGAAATTTGAATCAGTTTAATTTATTTGAATCTTATTTTACTTCATGAATTTATGCTGTTTACACTTTACTTTTTTTTGTTTTCAACTTCATTCTTATAGGTCAATTTGTTAGCAGAGATCGAGCTCAGCCTACCTGTCTTGGAGGAATTAATGGGCTCCCTCGAACTGAATCTCGTGAAACAACATTTCAAAGAGGACGTAAACGTCTACAGGAGGTAATTTAATACGGGAGATTTTGTAAGAAATTCAGATTTTTTGTTTAATCAGTTTATTATTAATAAAATTAACCTTTTTAAAAGGTCGCTAATCAACTTCGCATTAATCAACATTGTGTTGAGCTTGCATTTGGCTTTTTCAAAATGTGTGTTACCAAAAAATTAACTAGAGGAAGACTTCGTTCTCATGTTGTTGTTGCTTGTTTGTACATGGCCTGTAGAAGTGAAAATACTTCCCATTTACTTTTGGATTTTAGTGATGCTACTCAGGTTTTTTCGAGACTTTTTAGTTTTTTATAGATTTTGTTAGATAAACATTTTCGATCTCGGCCGAACACTTGGATTTCTATCTCGATCTCTTTTTATAAAACTTCCTCCAACAGATCCATGCATTTATGTTCTTCGATTTTCTGCAATGCTTGATTTTGGTGATAAACAAAAAGAGGTATTGAAGGCCTCTTAATGTTTTTAATTTAAAATTTTTAATAGATTGCTCTCTTGGCTACACGTATTATTCAACGAATGAAACGTGATTGGATGTCCACTGGTCGTCGACCAACTGGAATTTGTGGTGCTGCGTTACTGTTAGCATCTAGAGCTTTTAATTTGAACAGGTAGAGTGATTTTTTTGTTTATTGTTAGATTTTCTACTGATTTTTAAATGCTTTAGTCTTCACTTAAATTTTTTTTAGGTCTGTAGCTGATATTGTCAATATCGTTCATGTGAGTCATGGCGTAGTCAAACGTCGTCTTGATGAATTTGCGAATACCCCTTCTGGTTTATTAACTATAGACGAATTCAACAACGTTGATTTGGAAGAAAGTGAAGATCCTCCTGCATTCCAAGAGTCAAAAAAGCGAATGATTGAAGAAGAAAAGCGAAAACGAGATGAAGAAAAAGCGGCAGATTCTGCTGTTAACGAGGTATAAAAAATTTTGGGGATTAAAGAAGGTCCTTTTGTTTTGTATACACGCAAAATGATTTTTTATTAATTCGCTCTCCCTTTAGTTTGAACCTTTACGTCGTGAATTTGAAGTAGAACTCCAAAAACGTCTCAAAAATTCCCCTTATGCAAAAATGATTGTTGGAAATATTGCTGATCAAGGAGTACCAGAATTGTCTAAAGCAAGTTGTATTTTGCGTGATGAGATGATGGATACTGTTTTTGAACTGGCAGAAGAACATTCACCTTCAACAAGGTTGTCGAGAATTTTTTGGTTGTGCAAAGATTAAAAGTTATCCATTACATATTTTTTGTGCTAGAATTTAGTTGAGCCATATAGCTTTTCGAATGGGTGGTCGGAGCCAGAAAAGCAAAAAATTGGCAATAGGTTATCGACCATGCTCTACACGTTACTATAATCCTCATTTAAAAATTTTTGGTCACAGTTCGAAGTGTTCCCTTGTGAGCTCGGGATAACAAACATGATTTTTATTTAGGCCAGAATTTTTATTAATTTAGTTTAAGATTGGAAGAAAAATAATTGATAGATATTCATATTTATTTGAATTTTTCTTTTCATTCAGTTCCTATTCTGAATATGGCCCAACATTAGAATCACTTGGTTTAAAACCTTCTTATAGTCAACAAGTTGAAAGAAAAATAAATGAAACAATTAAATCAGATTCTAATAATACAGAAGGGGATGGAAATTTGGATCTTGAAGGAATTGATGATGATGAAATCGATTCTTATATTTTAACGGATACAGAAGCTTCAATTAAATCAAAATACTGGATGGCTCGTAATTCTGAACATTTACAATTAATGGCAGAAAAGTATGTTTTTAATTTAATTTAAATTTTCAAAAATTTTTGTAACAAAATTTTTCGGGCAGATTTCAACTTTTCGTTATTTATTCATAATTTAATTCCATGTAAAGTTAAAGATTATTTTGTTTCAAAATTTTTGAAAAAAAATAAAAAATCTGATTTTAAAATCAGATTTTTAACTACAGGGTACTAATTCCAAAACATAAAAAGGTTTTTACTCAAAAATTAAATTTATATAAATTAAGGCGTAAAATAAAAGAAGAGGCACAGAACATCAAAAAAGAGAAAACCACTAATCAACCACAAAGAAAAAAACGTAAACCAAATACAAATTCTGCACTCAAAAAAGAAGCAAGTGATCCGAATGAGGCAATGCTCCAAGTGATAAAGGTTTTTTTTAATTTATTTTAAAAAATATTTTAAAAAATTAATTTTAGGAGAAAAACTTGTCAAATAAAATAAATTATGAAATTCTGAAAAAAATTGAAGAGGAATTTTGATAGAAGATGGGTAAAATTGAAGTTCGTTTACCCCTTCATTTCTCTTTCCTCGAAGTGATAACAAAAAAGAAAAAAGGATGAAAGATTTGTTGCGTTGTTATATGAGTGCCTTCGAAGAAAGCACTATTATCCGCGCGAAATTTTTGTTGTGCAATGCCAATTGTTGTGCAATGCCAACTTCAATTTTACCATGTAATTAACCAAAACCTGTTGTTTTATATATTTAGCAGATTGTTATAAATAGAAAATAATTTTTAACAGATTCTTGAATAAAATAAAAATTTAATAATTCTTTAACGTTTATCAAAAAAATAAAGATGGCAACAAAAACAATAAAAAGCCATAAACAATTACCAGAAAATTGCTTAATAAAAATTTTTTGAGTATAAAAAAAGAGAATTTCAAAATGTATCCAAACATTTAATTATTTTATTTTTATATTTCTTCCCTCTCATTTTGACTTATACCCGCCTGTTTTGCCAATTTAAAGAATAAGGAATCAGAATCCTTCAATAAAGCATTGGGCGAATCGAATTCAGCCACTTTACCAGCATCCATTACAAGTACACGATCATAATCAATAATTGTATTTAAACGATGAGCAATTGTTAACACCGTGCATTCTCTAAAACGAAAAACTTATTAGGACTTTCCTTCCAACAAAAATATATGGAAAGGGATCCTTATTATTGGGTAAAAACTTTTTTGGAAAGAGCCCCTTTGATAAACAAAACTTTCTCGACTTAATTTTCTTCTAAAAATTACAAAATCAAAAACCAACTTAAAATGACTGCGTATAGATAGTTGAATGCGAGAATCTGTCTCTGGATCAATCGCCGCTGTTGCTTCATCGAGAACCAAAATACACGTTTTTTGTCTGAGAACAGCTCTTGCCATACAAACAAGTTGACGTTGACCAACACTTAAAAAAGAAATTTTTTCTTCAATAACAATTTTTAAACCTTAAATTAGCTCCACTCTCAGCAACTTTGTAATCTAAACCTCCCTCGATTTCACGTATTGTTTCTGCAAGATGTGCTTTTTCTAGAGCTTCCCAAAGAGATGCATCTGTGTAATCATCAAATGGATCCAAATTTAAACGAAGAGTACCACAAAAAAGAACAGGATCCTATAAAATGATTTAGATTTTATTCGAAGCAAAGAAGCATTCTCCAAGTTCAATTAAATCTACCTGAGGTATTATAGTTAACGTACTACGCAAGTCATGCAAACCCAAAGTAGAAATATCAATTCCATTAATTAAAATTTTGCCAGAGCAGGGATCAACAATTCGAAAGAGTGCCAAAGTTAGTGAAGACTTTCCTTTAAAGTAAAAAAAATTAATTAGAATCATCTTTTTAATTCATTTTACCAGCTCCAGTACGTCCAACAATTCCAACTTTTTCTCCCGCCCGAACATCAAAGCTAACATTATTTAAAACCAAATCCAATTCGTTTCTATAACGCAAACAAACATCTTTAAATTGAAGATGCCCAGCACCAGATGGTGGCCAATTTCTAGATTCATCTATTGTATTCCATTCTGGCTCTCTTTCATTGTTAATATATTCAGAAACTCTTTCAATGCAAACCATCTGAACTTCAGATTCACGCCAAACTCGAGCAATTTGTCCCAAATATCCAGTAAACTGAAATTTTTTCAATAGATTAAAACATTCAAATTAAAAATATACAATATATCCATTGTTAATAACCATAGCCAAAACACCAAGAGATATCCATTTATAATCTGCCATTATAATAGCGACAAAAACGCAAATAAAAATAGCACAGTCACTTATAAAATCTAACCGAGATTGGAGCCATCTAGAAAAAAATTCAAAAAATACAAGAAATTAAAAAAGACCTGTTAGTATAAATTTCTGTAATAAGACTTTCATTCATAAAATCACAAATATAAACATTTTTGTCGCGGAATCGCTCAACAACATTAAAAACACGAATAGAATCGGCGCCTGTATGAGAATCTTGGAAGAAAGAACAGTTAGATGAAACTGCTTTGCTTGTTAAGCGGCGAAAATGAACCGAGGCGACGTTGTAAAAATGCTTTAAAAATAAATTTAAAAAAAATTTTTTTAATTAATAAAACTTACAATAATTCCCAAGAAGATTGTTAATAAAGGTACAACAACAAATACAAGAACAGGAATTACCACACAAATAGCAATTAATGAATTCAATGCTTCAGCAAAAACACTCATTGCATAAGAGGTAGCCTATTGCAGTTAAATTAGAGTGTTATTTTTTTATAAATTATTTTACCCAAGGAATATTTTCATCAATTCTAGCAATATCATAACTCAAACGATTCATTATTCGTCCCATTGGGGTTTGATCAAAGAATGCCATTGGACTGTGAAATAGAGAACTAACAAGTTTTCCGTGGAAATATGTACTTGCATTATAGGCACCAACTGAAATTTTTTTAGTTATTTTGGAAATTGAAAAGATCGAAAATATTTTTTAATAACTACCTGCTACTACAATGCTACAAATTGCAGAACTGATAACTAAAAAAAAGTAGTTAGAAGAAAACAAAATTTTAAAATTACTAGAGATTAAATTAAAGCCTCCATAAATAAGCAAATGACTCAATGAATCAGCAGTATTGTTGATAGCAGCAGATGACCACTTTGCTAACCAAACACTAGATAAAGCCTCGGAAGTGCTGACACCAAAAAATGTGAAGAAAAAATAAATAATTGCCAAGAAAATTCCAAATGAACGACAATAGACAAGATATACACGACGAGAAACCTTTTTAAAGAGAACTAATTACTATAAACTTAATAATTTACAATTCCAGTTGCCAATTCTTCCTCTTTTGTTAAACGACCAATAACTTCTGTCCACTCTGGCCTATCTCCAGCATATGCGTTGTCACTAAGATCTGATACACCTCCCTGTTGATGCATCGATTGATGAGAAGATTGATGTGACACCTAGCAAGAAATTAAGATGAACTAAGGTAAATATGAATGGAAATCCAGATTGACTTATATCGCAATAATGGATCCATCATATAGCTCATTTTGGGTGTTATTTATTTCACAAATTTACAAAAGTTTTGTCTAATTTGACACGCGCTTCTCAATAAACTTGCCAAACTGGTTCTTTAAAAAATTAAATACCCGTGTTTCTGAAGGTTTTGCTTTAGATTCTTCCGCCTTCACCATCTCCTTCGGCTGTTGATTTTCAGAACTCGCTAATTGTTGTTCGAGAATTCTACGACGTTCAAGCAACGACTCACTGAGGGGAGATCCAGATAACTGCCCAAGCACCTCACTTAATTCCGAATCTTCTTCATCATCAAGAGTCACTGAAGAATATTTGTAAACATCTGATTAAAATTATATTTATAACCTTCCAATGTGCTCGACTTTTTGCTTCTCTGGCTTTCTAACTTTTTCTCCATAAATTCCCTTATTAAATCAGCAAAAGGCCCTTCTTTTTGTTCAGATAACTGTCTTAATGTACCAATATCATATATTTCTCCCTCTAAATTAAACAAAAAATAATTTATTCAAAAAATTTTTCTTACTATCCATGACAACGATCCGTGTACAATATTGAAGGAAAGCCAACGAATTTAGCGCCCATAAACGAGTTTTATTTGCAAGAAGTCCTAATAAATATCACATACAAATAAATAATTTTAAAAATAACCTTTTTCCCCAATGACATTTGCAAAAATAGCTGCCCCAACGTGTGCATCAACAGCAGAAAGTGTATCGTCCAAAACATATAGTTCTGCATCCATATAGACAGCACGAGCCAAGGCTACACGCGCCTTTTGGCCGCCAGATAAATTTATCCCCTAAAAATGAAAAGTCATCTTTCAAAACGCGAGCCCGAAAGCCAAGAAAGATATTTTTACCTTTTCTCCAATTTCAGTAAAGTCACCAGCTTGCAATAATTTCAAGTCTTCACCCATCGAACAAGCGTTAATAACAGATGTATATTTGTTCTCATTAAATGGGGAATCAAAAAGAACGTTGCCACGAAGAGTCTTGTTTTGAATCCAAGGTTGCTGAGGTACATAACCAATAGATTTCGCTCTAACAATTGCCTCTCCTTTATCTTCCATTCTCTCCATTTCTCCAAGGATTGCAGAAAGAAGAGAAGATTTTCCTGATCCAACACGGCCAACAACTCCAATTAGTTCTCCAGGTTGAACCTCCAAGGAAATATTTTTTAGTTGTAAATTTGGCTCTGCGACATTTACACCAGTCCAGCTAAATGAGCAGTCACGAAGAGAAACTAATTAAATTTTTAAAGTTACAAAAAAGCCTTGTAGATATAAAAATAATTTTAAAGGACTGACCAATTGGGAGTGCTGGATCTCGAGTTTCTCTTAAAATATGGCTTTGCTGCATCTCTTCAGCGTTTAAAAATTCGACCAAACGTCTGGAACTCACCCAAGCCTTAATTGAATCAGTCAAAAGTCGTGGAAGCATATAAATTGAGAGACGCAACATTCCAAAAAATAGAAGAGAAACGAATGCAACATCTTTAAAAATTTTATTTTAAAATTCATTTAATTAAACCAAACCTGGACGTAAAGGATTTCCTTGAATAACTGTATAACCATAGAAACTGATGAGAGTAGCCTGAAAAAACGGAAATATTTATATATCGAGGTGAGAATGGAGATGTCTGACAGCCGAAATATAGTTTAGAATAGAAATTTATAAAGGGAATTTAGGAAGGTTTAAAAAGGATCAAAATTTAAAACATACAACAAGCGGTGCAAGTTGAAATGAAACATTAATTCCAGCATCCATCAAAAATACTTGACGTAACACATACAATTCTCTTTTACGAAGTTTAGCAATCAGTTGTTCCATAGATTCTTCCCAAGCATATAATTTTAATACTCTCATTCCACTCAAAACATCATTTATTAATTTTAGACGTTCATCTTTGATTTTCAAAAGTTTATCCTAAAACCTTTTATTACAAAAAAATTATTTTAAAAAATACCTCCAAGCGAGTACTGATCTTAGTTAGAGCATAATTGACAGGAAAAACAACGACAAGTATTACAACTCCATAAAAAGCATTAACGCCAAGTTCCATGTAAAGACCAAAAAAAGCAATTATAAGCTAAAGATTCATTTAAGCTTTTACTATAAAATTATTATAAAAATAAAACCGTTAATGGGCAATTGATAAAATAACAGACATCGAAGAAAATAGAACGAATATGATAAACGTCATTATTTAAATAATTCTGAATTTCTCCAACAGAATATTTAATTTTGCTTGATGGTGAAAGACGAATCATCTATTTAAAAATTATAAAACTTATTTCTAAATAATCAAAAAATAAAATTTGTGTTCTTTTTGACAATATACTAGGGCAAAACTAAAATTAAATTATTAGAAAGCCCAGCTTTGGAAACCGCCTTAATGATAAACTTGTCCTAAACACGTTAAGCAAGATTACAAAAATGATTACAAAAATTACAAAAAATGATTAAAAACCTTATCAAAAATAACAGATGTTAATATCGAACGAAGATTCAAATAAGCACGAAATGATGCGAAATCTCTTCTAACAGTAATCAGCTTGTCACCGAAATCGGTAAAGAACAAAAACACCATAAAAGTTAAAGAAAGCCAAACTGGATTTCCTGCTGTTACAGAAAGAACAATCATTCTAAAAACAAATTTTTAAATAAATTTGTAAATTCTATTAAAAACCTAAGAAATATAGCATTTGCATAATTTCCAAGAACAACAAAAACTGCCGCTATAACACACAAGCAATTCCATTCCCAAACACAAAGAAAACAGCGAAACAGAAATAAAGCTGGATTGAGCTTTCGTCCTGAACATACTCGTTGAATTCGGTGCCATCGATTGCGTAAATATCCTGCTTGGAAGCTTAAAAGAAAAGAAACATTTCTAAAATATGAAGGAAATTATATTTAAAATTTAGAATAAATTACTAAAATTTATAAGAAATTAATTCGTCTTGAAAAAAAAAAGATTAAATTTAAAAACCATTTATCCAAAACCCAAAGATCATCAAAATCAACAGATCCACGTAAACCTCGCCAAATCATTTGTCCAGTATACCAAAAGAAAAGACAATTGAGTGCAGAAGATGAACTTTCTGGGCATTTTTTCTTCTCTTTTCGCCCTTCTTGACCATCTAAACGTTGGTATTGGGCATCATTTGAGGTTGTCGAATCCGCCCAACAAAGCAAAAAAGTCATAAAAGTAGCCAACAAAAATTGACTTAATAAGCAATAATTTGAAGGAACTTCGTTAAACAATCTTTGGGAATTTGAAAATGAAAGAACAGTATCGGGAATGAGTGAAATGCAGCGTAGAGCCCATGCCAAATGTAGAAAACCGCTGCTAACAACTCCCAAACAAATACATTGTCCATACACAATTAGCAAGCAAAAAGTTATAGCTAAACCAATAAAAACAGAATTTTGCTGCTAAAAATAAAGGTAAACATAAATTATAAAAATTCAGTTAAACCTCAGGTAGAACCGGAGAAGGTCCTAAATAATCAGGCCAAGCAAAAAATAAAACAACATCCACCAAAGAAACAAGGGCGGCGAAAAATGAAATTAACTAAAAAAGGAAGAAATATTTAAAAAATTAAATATTGTGAAAAAAATATATAAAAACCAAAAATAACAAAATCAAGAATTCAAAGTAAAAATACAAACCGTCTTTAAAACAACCATCTTTCCAATATACAATCGACATCCATTAAGCGTTTCTCGAAAGAAAAAATTCTGGATACACAAGGCAATAAAAGCTGTTAAAGCCATCACAATAGGCAAAGAAGGAATCAAAACTTTTGCCAAACATGGTGAAACTATTTGTTCAAAAGTTGAGTTTGGAGAGATTGGAAGCTGAAAAATAAAATTTAAACAAAAAAATAAAATTAAAAAAACATACAAATGCAGGTGTAGAACAAAGTTCAGTTCTCGAAATTAAAAGATTAATACTTGTAAGATGTGGCAAAGACATTCCTAAAAATTAAATTTAAAAATTAAAAGAAAATTAAAAGAAAAAAATTATATGGGAAATTTATATGGGACTCATAAATTATTTTTGGGACGCATAAATTTTTATGGGACTCATAAATTCTCTTGGGACGCATAAATCTTCATGGGACGCATGAACTGGACAAGAGCCAAAATTCGGGCATGCCAAAATGGTCAGAAAATAAAATTATATTATGATAGTAACACAAAACAAACTAATATCTGCTTTTAGATAAAATAAATCCTTTTATTTAGTACATATTTAATTATTTTACCTAAATATGATGAAATAGTAATTAATTAGGTCCTAAAAAATGTCAGGAAAATTAAAATTTCCCAAACATTTCACAATAAACATAGTGTAAACAATAATTTATTGTTTATTTACAAAGATCGTCTAGGCAACAAAGAGAGGAAAGAGAATGCAAAAAAATTAAAATTGATAAAATTACCAATTAATAAAAAACAAAATTTTTTTGCCCACAAAGTCTTTTTGCTGTAAAATTTATAAAAAAAAACTTTTAATTTAGAGCAAACTTAGTTAGCTTTCTAATCGATAGGATATAAATATACGTAAATAAATGATGACTAAAAATTACAAATCTGGAATAAAACAAAAAATGTATAAAAATAAGCAATATTTATTAAGATAAGTTTTCAAAAAGCTTTAAAAAATAAGTAAGCCAAGTAACAAAAAAACGGGTAAATGACTAAATATATTTTAAGATGAAAATAAAGGGGCAGTTTTATACTCCAAAATTAATCCTTTTTTGATTTATAGTTATCAAAAAGGAATTGGGAGGCAACAAAAAAGAATAGCAAATCAATTTTTTCCTACATATTTTTAATCTTATCGTATTGCCTTAAGAGAACATTAAATTATTATCGTGCCGAACACCGTTAAAGAAAAAGCTTGGAAAAACTTGACTGACCAGCAGAGCTGCGTCGAAATAAAAATATCTTCGAAATTCGGAAATCGAAAAAAATCCAAAAATATCGAAATCGAAATTTTATAAAAAAAATTCGAAAATTGGAAATCGGTAGAAAAAAACGTCGAAAATCGAAAGTTGAAAATCGAAATTTCGACGCAGCTCTGCTGACCAGACCACTTACCCAATTACTAGTGGTCGGTAAATAGGGTTTTCGGTAACAGTAACATCGAAATTTACCGATACCGAAAATTTCGGCAGTATTAATGTGCCGTGCCGAACACCACTAATTACTAGCGATTACAAATTGGTGCTAAATTTTGGAAATTATGTATTTTGGACAATTCTGACTAATTTATAAAATATTTTTACAAAATAAACTTCTAAAACTAAACAATTTAGACATAATAAGCTCCATTCCAAACCAAGGAATCTTTAATTTCTTCATTACATCCTTCTAATTGATAAGGGCAATGTCTACATCCATTTCCACAGCATCTTCCATCATATAAATGTTTGGAAATTGTGTCAATAATAAAACCAGTAAAAGGGCATTTATACCTAAAAATTATTTAACTTGGGAATTTTTAATCTAAAAAATTGATGTTCTCCTAACTAAATGGGATTTCCTCAGCAATCAATTAATCTTTGAATCCGTCTGTTTATTGTTAGTATAATTCAAGTCGACTGACAAATTAGATGAAATATTTGATTTTATATGAAAGGATAGTTAACATTAACGAGGATATAGGAAAAGTTTAGAAGCAGTTTCGAGTAGAATTTTTAATTTCTTCATTACAAAAAAACTAAGAGACCGAACTGACAATGAGAGTGTCGTACGAGAATCGAGATCTCGTAGATCCGAGCTCTAGTTTAGAGAGCCGAGTCAAAACACTTACAGGGAAAAAGCCAGAGCTATTTTTCTGTACGGTGTTCTCGATTCAAATTTCTAGATAGTATTTTGATCAGTTAGTTTTTACACCTATATGTTGTCCCCCTTTCCCAATTAAAAATTCCAACTTGGATCGATAAGTAATTAAAAAAACTAACCATAATTTCCTCTCTTCAATAGCCTTAAAATGTTTAATATAAATAGTTCTTTCTTCACTAGTCATTTTATTATAACAAAGCCAAGGAACTCTTTGTCTTTTCATTCAGGGTTGCGTCGTAATTGAAAATTTTTTTTCGTAATCGTAATTCGTAATTCGTAATTTTTAAAAAATTTTCGGAATCGTAATTCGTAATTCGTAATTTTAAAAAAATTTTCGTAATCGTAATTCGTAATTCGTAACTGAAAAAATGCCGTAATTCGTAATTCGTAATCGTAATTCGTAATTTTTTAAAAAATATTTAAATTAATTTAAAAAATCAAAATTTATTAATAATTGCTGTTTTCCCATTAATCCCTCCAAGTCCTTTTATTTTTCTAATATTATTTCACATCCCAATTGATTCCCTGATATCCCTCTTAATCCCCTTAATCCTCCGATATATCTTCAATCAATCATGCGAAATCATCGTCCCAGATTAAAGTTTGAAATTATGTAATATCACTCTCACTTAATCCTGACAAAAATAAAACGACCCGTGAAATTTTCCAAACCCCGACTTATTTTAATCTTTTGATATCCTTGTTAATCTCAGATGTTTCTGCGCCGCAGGCAAAAATTTCGAGAATTTTGGAAAGCCTTAGGAGAAAAAATTCATTTTTTAGAGCAGGAAGCAAAAAACTTTTTGAAGTTTAGATGGACATGCAGCCAGAACTATTAGATTTTCTGCGCCGCAGGCGAAAATTTTAGAAAATTCATGACCAAATTAAAAATTTTAAAGTTTTTTTCAATTTTAAGATATTAAAAATATAAATTTATAAACCTAAAATCAAAATCAAAGTTTAAAAACATTTATTTTTGAAAAAAGGAGTGCTTAAACTTCATTTCACAATCATGGATTCGAACCAAAGCCCACAAAATATCAAAGAGAGTGAAGCCTTACTATTAAACCACTCAACCATCGTTCAACTAAAGGGAATCTGATTGTGAGAGAAAATATAAATATTTCTTTCCATTTTCCTTCAAAAATTTAATATAGGTCTGTTTTGAAATATAATTTTTATTTTCGTAATTCGTAATTTTTCCCGATATTTTCGGAATCGTAATTCGTAATTTTAAAAAAATTTTCGTAATCGTAATTCGTAACTGAAAAAACGCCGTAATTCGTAATTCGTAATCGTAATTCGTAATTACGACGCAACCCTGTTTTCATTGTTTCTTCAAAAAGTACATAATCAGCAAGAAGTTCTCCTTTTGGGCCAGGAATTAATGAATAAATTGGACGTCCAATTCCTCTACTTGGAGCAAAATGGGTTGGGAAAGAATTTTCTTTATCAAGTTTAATTACATGCTTTGATTGTTGTATAGCTTCTAAAAAATAATTTTTAATTTTTAAAATCTAATAATAATCTACCTTCTGGAACTGCAGCAGATGATGCATTTTTGAATTTATTTAATTTCAGAGGTAATTTTGAAAGATAAATAATTCTTTTAAACAACATTTAAACAAATTGAATCTTCTAAATAAGAGAAAAAAATTACAAAAAATCAACCAATATTATCAAAAAAAATTTTTTTTTCAAATTTTAATTAAAAACAGAATGCCAAAAATAATTAAGATCTCTATGAAAGCAGAGAAAAAGGTGGCACGAATTTTCGTCAACGGACTTTCCGTCAATGGACTTTCCGTCAACGACTTTTCGTCAATGAGTGGATGTTTTTTTAATTTTGAGAGAAATAGAAGATGATACATGTATGTAAAAGTGTTGTCAGATTAAAAATTAGACTTATTTGATAATTCTGAACAAGGTTATAAGCAATTGTGTCACTACGAAGGATAGGTAGTCTTTTCAAGGTTGAAAATCGGTAAAAATGAATAGGTTTACGTTACTGGTGTAGAACCCAGCGACCTTTGACTCCCCGCGAGGCGCGTGCCGCAAAACCCCGCGCGAAGCGCGGGGTTTTGCACAAGCGCCTTGCCGACGCCCCATAGGTTATTCGAGAGTATTTGAAGAAATAAGGAATCCTATACAAAATTGGGCACATAATTTAGTTATTTGTGGCTTTGAACAGGCCGATTAATTTCCTAAATTTTTTAAAAGCGATCATTTATTGATGAAAAGTCCGTCCATTGACGAAAAGTATTGACGGAAAGTCCATTGACGGAAAGTCCGTTGACGAAAAGTCGGGGAGCCGAGAAAAATAAATTAGACACAAAGAAAAGTTGAGAGGTCATCATTCGTTATAATTTTTAGACATTGATCGTTTACTTTGGAATTTTTTAGGCTCTTTTTACTATGATTAATTTTTTCTGATTGTAATCTTTTTTCTCTTCAATCGTTTGAATCTAAAATAGAAAATAATTTTAACAATTTTTTTTCTTGTTTAATTGGGGGTTAAAAAATGATTTTTTTCAAAAACTTTTTTTGGAATTATTTTTAATATTTTCAGTTTTTTTTATTTGCAATGCAACGTTCATGCCCTTATTGCAATTCTTTATTTTCTTCAAAATATTCTGGCGGAAAACTTAATAATAATTCTGAATTTGGGTTTTCTTGTTCAAACTGTGGCGCTATTTTGGAAGAAGATGAGGAGGAAAAACAGGCAAATGTAGATGATGGAACTAATTTGGATTATGATGGGGACGATGTTTTGACAAATGGTTAGTTCATTTTAAAATATTCTTTTTTACCTGAAAAGTGCCCCATATAGCTTATTTTTTCGACGAAATTAATTTTTTGATTTTTTGTATTTTTTAAGACATTTAAGGATATATAGTAAATTATAAAAAAATATGATTTTAATTAAAATTCTCAGTAGGAAAACTTTCGGTAAATGAAAATCCTTTTTCTGTCAAAAATCATATTTGGGCACTTTTCAGGTTATTTACTTTAAAATTTTTACTTTAATTATATTCTAATTATGTAAAAACTTTGGATTTCCATTAAACTAATTAAGAAAAAATATTTTTAATTTTAAATGTAATTTTTTACAGTCATTTCTTTAACTCTGTCAAATAATATATATATATTTTTATTTATATTTTCACTAATTTTTTTATCTCTAATTAGATTTTTTTAATTAAGAGATAGATTTTACATTATTTTTATTTTACTAATTACATATACATATTTTTCTCTTTTTTGTTTATTATTTTTTTTTCATCAGAAAATAGAATTTCCTGACAATGGGAAAATATGCAAAACTTTTTGATATTAATTTTCCCTGTAAATTATTTCCAAAATAATTACAAAAATTTTCCAAATTATTTTCATTGATTATTTAAATGTTCCTCATATTTTAACGCCTTTAAATATTTTATTTTTTGCCTTCTGTTTTTGTTGTTTATTTTAGAATATTCTCTAATGAGAAGTTTTGGTGTCAACAAAAATTCCTTTTGTTATTGTCCTTTAACTCTTCCAGTCACGAATTTTTTACATCCGTTTTTTGGAAATTGGGGAGAAGGGGGATTGGGTTTTAGAATATTTTCAGTTTTGAAAGAACAATAGAAAGCAAAAATGAGGGAGGAGGAAAATCAAAAGCTTTGATTGCTTTTTATTTTAAACTTTTTTTCGCAGTTTTTAATTTTTTTAACAAAAATTTTATTTATAAACAAAAAAAATTAAATTATTTGAAATTACCTAAAATAGGTCCTTTGATGGTTGCTATAGGTTAAGGTTTTAATTCATCTCTGCAAATCATTTCTATTTTGTGTCAATGCCCTTTCTTAAAAGTTTTTCTACTCATTTACTTTTTAATTCCCTCCTCTGCTCTAAAATACTTTTTTTAGATTTTTAGTAGAATAAATCCACTTTAGACGCATTAAAAATTTAAATTAACTAAGATTATTGGATAAATTAGGATTGAGGCTTTCTTGCTGCATAATGCAAAATTATTGTAATTATTTGTGTAATGGAAGACTTTACCTCGTAATAATGCTTTAATATTTGACTTTGAGAAAATGCCACACGCATTCTGAATATTAAGTGAATCTTTATTAAGTAAATTTACTTGTCTAGTAATTTACTTTTCTATATTTTCTTAAATTTATTTGTGAATACACAAAGACGAATATAATTCTTTTTTTAGAAAAGTTTTAATTTGTCAATTCATCTTTATTTTTTATATTTTCTATAAAAACTAACTAACCTCAAAATGTCCCTCAACAATAAAATTATTTATCCAAATAAAAATATCCAAACATATTCACCTCCTTTAACATCTCAAAATCATCAACATCCTTCATTAATTCATCAAAAAAGTTTTGCTTCAATTAGACAATTTGTTCTTTCAAATAATCATTTTAAACAACAAAAAGAAGAACAAAATCAAAAATTTCCTCGTTTTTCTTCTATTAGAAGACGAAAGAAAATTTTAGATGAGGAAAATAGCAACAAAAATGGAAAAATTAAAAGAATTCCTTCTGTCAGAAAAGTTGGTGTTTGCCATGGAAAAAGCAATAATCTTGATTGGCGTTCAAAAAGTGTTGCTGGTCTTAAATCTACGAATACAGCTAGCAATAAGTTGTTATTAAAATTAATTTTTAAGTGATTTCTTTTTGGTTGATGACCATCCTTAACTCCGACATGAAGAATTTTTCTATAAAATTATTTTATTCCCGACTCTGATTCCTTATCGAAAATCAACTCTTATAAATCTAACAAAAATACAAAAATTTATATTTTAATAAATTATAAGAAGTCCGATTGCCGAACAACGTAAATATTCATTAACTCTTATTTCACAAAAAGCAAAAAAGTCAATGCAACGCAAATTAAGTGAATTAGCCAAAAACGATTCCAATTTTGTTACTCAAACAATTGGAAGAATAGTTCAACAACAAACTTCTTTAGATAAACAACAAAATTGTGAACATAAAAGTGGGTAATTTAATCGAGTTGATAAATTTAAATTATTTTGCTATTAAATTATTTGGGGAGGAAGGGGGGAGGTTGTAGTGGGATATCTAATTTATACAATTTTTGTAATTCTATATTTGCTTGATATTTTAATTTTTACAATTTTTCTTTAATAGTTTATATTTACATCAATTTATTATAACTTTTTCTGTTTTCTTTTTTTTTTTAATTCGTAGTACATCATTTTTAAACTATTTGCATTTTCTTACACTATTTTCAAAAATAAAACATAAATTATTATACTTGTTCTGTCTAATTTTTTATTTTTCTATCTTTATTATTTTAAAAATTTATTTTTGACAATAAAAATTAAAAATGAGTCAATTTATTTAATAAATAATATTTAAATAAAAACAAATAAAAAAATCCAGGAAACCAAATAAAGAATAGACAGGAAGGAACTCACACGAGACAATAAATAGTCAAGAATTCTTTTTAAATATAATTAATATTTTTATTTTTTATCAAGAAAATAAATCATTTTTCATTGCTAACTGTCCTTTAGGGGGGGGGGTATTAATTTTTCTGTTAATTTTTGTTACATATTATAAAGTTAAGAATTTCATTTTAGATTTTCTTTTAGTATTTTTTAAAATTTTTTTTTGTTGCATGACACTTTAAAAATTCAGTTCTACTTTCTTCTCGTGACCACTTCCAAACTTAAATTTATTTTTACTTTTCTCCCACTTTATTAACTTTAGTTTTTCTTTTTTTTTAATTTATTATTTTTAAATAAATTGTTCCATAAATTTTATATCTTCGCTTCATTTATTCTTTTTTATCCACATATTTGTTCATTTATTATTTCCGCTTATGAACAATTCTGGAACTTTTCTTTAAGGGGTTTTTATTAATTCGAGTTTGATTTTTAAGTATACAAGTTGGAAATAATTTTTAATAATTAAAAAATATTTTTTTTCTATTTATTAACTTTTGTTTTTCCTTTTTCTAAACATTTTTCTGTGTTTTTTAATTAATTTATTAAATGTGTTTATTTAATTTCTATATTTTTCACTTAATATTTTTATCACAAATTTCAAAAAAAATTAAAGAAGCCCCTCATTTTTACATTAAATATCTTGTTACTTTTATCTAATATTTAAGAAATGAAAATATAAGTACTTGACAGAATTGTGGGGATATTGATAAAATTGAGGGATTAAATACTTAAATATCTTTTAAAAAATATTTAAATACACAGGCGCGCGACTTAAAAGCGACTAAATAAATTATAAAAAAAGTAAATTGATTGAATGAAGCTATATAATTGTAAATGCTTACTTAATAATAAGTATTAAATGTTGTTAGGCCATATTTGTAATTTTAACGTTAAATGTGCTCGCGCTCCTAAAACCTCCTCTTTTCTCTCTCTTTTTTTCCTTTGGGATTAAATGTGAGTGCTTCTATTATTTTAACTTTACGAGATTTTCTTTTTATTTAATATTTTTTTCTGTTGACAGTTTTATTTAAAACTTTTATTTTTTAATTTGTTTTAATTTCGTCTTTATTTTTTATCTAAAAGACTCAGAAAGTGCCGTAAACGGTGTATAGGAGATAGGATGTTCTTTTATCTTAGAAATACAGTATTTTATTACAAAATTTCTAAAAACTTTAAAAAGACTACCCTTTTGATTAAGCTTTTTATAGTTTCTTATACTCCGAATTATAATTTGCTTTCCCCCTGAATTTATGCGCAAGTCTTTTCTTCTCCATATTTTTTCGAATATTTAAAAGTTTAATATATACTATGTTAGATGCTAGATTCTTTCAAAAAATAATATCCTTAATTTTAATTTTTTTTTGAAATTAATTTAGCGGAAATAATATGTAGTATATGCCCCTAATAAATAAATAAATTTTGGGAGAACATCAAAGAACTGTTGACCATGAATAAAAAAAGAAGCACCAAACAAAAACGGTTGGCGCCAAACTAATAATAAATAGAGGAAAAGGTGCGCTTTTTGTTTGGTGCTTCTCTCTTTCCCCTTTGTTTTTTTTCCTTTTCTATATTTTTCACACCTTTTTGTCGGCATCAATAACATTATTTTTATTTCCTTTTCTAAAAACAACACCACTTTTTTTGCGTTTCGTTTTGTGTTACTCATTCATTACCTTTTTTATTGTTTCCGACCAATTTTTTGCATGGGTGAAGGAAATGAAATTATTTCATACCGTATTCCTTGTAATAGTACTACCGGCTTTGCTATTTCAGGAAATACGTTATTTAATGTCCTGCCGACATAAAAATGGATTTCTAATTTTCGAAAATCGGGACGGCAAATCCCTGAATTTCTTTAATTTTAATTCTTTATCCAAAATTATAATTAAATTTCTCCATATTTTTTATTCCTTTTTTGTCTACATATTAGACATATTTTAAAATATTTTTATTTTCTTCATATTCTATTTTTGTCATATTTTTAAATTTAATTCTATTTTGAACATTTAAACTTTCTTATTAAATATTTTTTTTATTTTCCTTATATTTTCATAATTTCCCGCTGCTTTAGTCTCTTCTTAATCGTTTTATTTGTCCTTTTTACCTCCTCCTCTTTACATACATTTTTAATTGGCATTCATTCTGCAAAACTTTTTTAAATGGCTGCAAAAACACTCAATTTTCCCTCAACAATTTTTCGGTTCCTCTGTCGCATCGCTTTTCCCATGCCACCAATTTATTCCTTCTACTAATTAACATTTCCGTTGTTCTGACTAAAAAATTCTTTATTTTTTTTTATTTTTTAATAAAAATTGATTATTTTTAGGCCTCTAAATAAAGAATTTCTGATTTTTTAGATAATTTTTTAAATAATTTTTTAACTTTTAGAGGAATAATTAATTCCTTAATATTTTTAAAAATTTTAATTAAAAAGAAGCCTTAAATAAACATTAGCATGGTTGAACGATTACCGAGATTAAATTTTTGAAATTAAAATAAAAATTATTTTTTAAATAAAAAAATTTCCTCTTTTGTCTTTCATTATTTAAATAATTTATTTAATTTTTACTTAATGTCATTTCTCTCTCATAAATAAATTTTTTAAATAAAAGCTTAAACAACAAAAAAAAGGTATTCCACACTTTTAGAATTTTAAATAAATTTAATAAAATTCACATGGCACGGACTTGGCATAAATTTAACTTTATGAATTTTTGATTTTTAGATAGCGTTTCCATGCCTTCAAATAAATTTTTAAATAAAATATTTAGCTTTTTTTCAAGTTTATTAGAATTTACAGTTTTTTTCTCACGCCACACTCAGGCTCACGCTTTCAATTTTTTTCTTTTTACCGTCTCGGATTTCATGCTAATAAATATTAACAATTTTTGTGTTATAAGGGATTGGCTTTAAAAATTATATTTTATGGGCAAAATGAAGCCTTTTACTATACGATTTTTATTTTATTTTTCTCGTTTGTTGTATTATTTTAAAGTAATTTTTAATTTTAATTTACTCTAAGCCTTATTGACCAATCAAAGAGAAAAAATTTTTTTAATTCCTAAATTCTAAATATTACTTGGGGAAATTATGTAGTTTGAATTATTGTTGTAGCAAACAACCTTATTTGGTTGTTACTATTTTAAATTAGAAAATTTAAAAATTTTTCAATGCACGGGTTTTTTTTTATTTTACTAGATAACATTTTTAATTGATTTTTTCATTTTAATTATTTTTATTTCCTAAAATAAATATTTTAAATATAATATTTTAACTATTTTTATCATTATTTTAAAAATATTCATTTAATTATTTAAATACAGGAATTATTTTCCTATTAATTTTCTCTTCTCAAAAAATGCCCAATAAATCTGTACGTGTTTCCCGTCCCTATTGGGAATCATCACCCTCAATTTCTTCTCAACTTGCTCATCGACGTATATTTATTGCCAAAAACGATTCTTGTCCTCCACAAACAACAGCATCTTCCTCTCAAAATGGAACCATAAATGAGACGGCAACAAACAATATAATTAAGAAAATTAGCCACAACGACAACGAAAGAAAAAGCAGCATTTCAAGAATAGCTACAGGAAATATTTCTTTTACATCTGCATCAATTACTAGAAGGGAATTATTATTAACACAATTTCCAGCTAATCCATATCACAATGGGGGCAGATTACTTCTAAAACGAGACAGTGAATTGGGCCGTAGTTTGGAAAGTGTTTGCAGCGGTGCTTCTTTGAAAACAAAAACTGTTGCTAATAAAGCAGCTGGATTTGTTTCAAATTCTCGAAAAAAGTCTGCGAGAGAAGAAAAAACATCTGGGTTAAATTCAAGGAATGGCAGTGCAAAGTCTTATGAACGGAATCATAGCCGTATTGGATACCAAACGGTACTCAATTAATTACTAAACATTTTTGTTTCACATTCCTCAATTTGGATGTGAATTGAAATCGAAATAATAAATATTTTTGATTTCAAATTCTCAAAAAAAAACTTTTAAAAAATTCTCTCATTAGCGTACCTCTTTTCATCAAAAGATTCAAGTGCAAGGAACACTCAGTGAACCTTTAAACGCCCCCGAAATGGATAAACAACGTTGTTTAAATATTTCTTCACCTCCGGCTACGGAAAGGACATCAAATGGAGTAGTAGATGAAACTTTTAATCGTTCTACTTCAATTAGACGTTGTATTTCATCAATTTCGAAACGTTTCAAGAAATCACCATTTGAAGAATTTACTCCGCCTGTTCTTCAAAATCAGACAGAAAATAATTGTATATTTAATTTGACTAAAAAACTTTGTTTTTTTCTTTTTATTTTTTAAATAAATAATGGTAATCCAAGGGTTTTTAGGCGACTTATCTAGTTTTTTCTCAAAAAAAAAATAAATTTTTATTTTCAGATGAAGTCGACGGACCCCACGCACTAATACCCTCTACAAGCGATGATTCCCTTGACAACGACCCAGAATTTCTAGAATTACAAGAACGTGAACAAATTGTGGATAAATATGAAAGAGTAATTAATTTTAGATTAAAATATTTTGATTAAAATAATTTAAGGGCCCTGAACAAAAAGATGTTGACCCTTGGGAAAACCCAAACTTTGAACTTTACAGGATAACAGACAGATATGGATTTGTTCAGTTAGTTTTTCTAAAACTTTTAAATAATCCAATCAATTTTTTGTAGCAAAGACGAAAAATTCTCGGCAGATGAAGCCGAGAAGAAACGAATAAAAAAAGAACTTAGAAGAGAAGATAAATGGGTAATTATGTTCAAAGAATGGGAACATCTACGTCCATCTAAATTACCTGAAAGAATTTGGAAAGGAGTACCAGACAAATTTAGACTTTTAGTAAATATTTTTTTATTTTTTTTTTAATTTAAAAATTAATTTTTAAAAAAGGTTTGGATGCGCCTTTTGGGGGCAAATGAACTCAAAGCAAAGGCTCGAAATAATTTATATAATGATTTATTAATTCGTGCACGTCTTGTTTCCAAAGACATTAAACAAATTGATTTGGATATAAATAGAACATATAGAGACAATTTGGCATTTAGAAGGAGATATGACGTGAAGTAATTTTTAATTTTTTAAATAAATTTTTAAAATTATTTTTAAGGCAACAATCTTTATTTAATTTACTCACTGCATATTCAATGTTAAATACAGAAGTTGGATATTGCCAAGGTAAATTTTCTTTAAATTTATCTCGTTCTTAAATACTCCCTTTGGGGCTGAAAACCAGTAATTAAAAGAGAGGGTTATTTAAATTAATGGGATTGATTGTGTTTTCCCCTCATTCACCCACACATTTTTATCCGAATTTTTTAAAAATCAATTAGAATCGATGATTTAACTATAATTTAAATTTAAGGAATGAGTCAAATTGCGGCTGTTTTTCTCATGTATATGGACGAGGAAGATGCATTTTGGTGTATGCATGCACTTTTAGTTACAAGAAAATACACAATGCATGGCAAGAAAAATTTTTTAAAAATTATTTTAACTTTATTTTTAAAGGTTTTTTTGTTCCCGGCTTCCCAAAACTTCATCGCTTCCAAAATCATTATGACAAAGTTTTGCTCAAATATTTGCCAAGAGTTAGGAAACATTTGGTTCGTCTTTTGGTTTTTACTTCTTTCTAATTATTTTTTAAAGGACCAAACAGGCATTCCCCCAATTTATTTAACAAAATGGTGGTTTGGTTGTTTCCTAGATCGAGTCCCTTTTTCATTAACGCTTCGTTTATGGGATGTTTTTCTTTATTATGGAGATTGTATTCTCATTGCTATGGCCTATAATATTATGAAAATGCATAAAAGTAATTTTATTTTTTTAATTTTTAAAATTTATGTGTAAATTTAATTTTTAAAATATTCCTAACTACAAATTTTCATTACTTTTTTCATTCATTCCATTCATATTTATTTCTATTTTTTTATTTTACGAGTTAATTTGTGAATATTTTTAATTTATAATTTAAAAAATTTCAGAAACTATATTGAAATTAAATATTGAACAATTTATGGAATTTATTCAAAGAACATTAGCTGAAGATTTTGGATTTTCTGACGATAAAGTAATGGAATCATTAGAGGAATGTTTGAAGAAATTACAGGTTTTTCTATTAAATAAATATTTAAATTAAATAGTTTATTTATCGGAGTTTTAATTTTTCGAGAAAAATCAAAAAATTATTTTCTGAAAATCTAAAATTTTTATCACTTATGTATTTCTCAAAAAATTGTTTTTCGTTAAATTAAAATTTCATCTCCGGAACATTTTATATTAATAAAATTCAATCTTTAAATTTTCCTTAAAAATAAGATTTCTCCTTTCAGAATGACAAAATGGCATTGCCACCCCCTCCAAATCCAACGGATCCACAAGAAGTTCCCACAAAACAATTAGGCCCAATTCTGACACGTTCAATGCTGGATATTCGCTCTGATATTGCTGAAGTATTTTAATTTAATTTTAAATTAAATAATTTATTTTTTAATTTTAAGGTCTACAGTAGATGTTCTCGTGCCAATTGTGAGTTTTATTTTTTAAATTATTATTTTCTCTCTTTTCTTTTTTTCTTGTTTTTGTTTATTTTTTTATTGTGATTTCCTCGTAAATTTTAAAAATTGTTTTGTTGTGCTTTTACAGCAACATCAATGCTTCTCCTTTATTCTCTTCCAAGTGTTCTTAAATTTATTGATAGTGATGATGAAATTGTTGATGAAGAGGAAGGCTGTTGAGTTGAAATAAAAATTTTTTAAATTATATTTTAGATTTATTTTGAGATGTAACTTCTCAAATTTATTTTAGCTATTTTAATTTTTTCCATTCATCAAAGACGGCAGCTTTTTATTATTATTAAAATTATAATTTCTCATTTATTAATATTTTTGATAGTTTTTCTTTTTTTCATTCTATGTATTTTTGTTATTTTTGACATATTTTGATATATTTTTAGTTTCTCTATTTTAGACTCTAAAATTTTAGGTTAAAATATTAAATTAATTAATTATTGTTCCTTTATTTGTTTGTTTCTTCAAATTACCTATATTTTTTTATTTTTGTTTTTTTAATTTAAATCTAATTTCATCTCTAATTTATTCCTCAACTTTTTCAGCATTAGCCGGCCGTTCCCCAGCCCCCAGCCGTCGACAACAGCAAAGACATTACAAATCAGCAGCTGCAGCAATACGTGTTCCAATTCAGGATGCTACAATTGAAGGAACAACAACAAATACTACAAATACAATACCTTTCTCAACCCCAGCCTCTTCATCTTCATTTGTTTCCCCTCCAGTTGAACCTTTCCTTAGAAGAGTTGGGTCTACAAAGGATAGAAGACATAAACCTCCACCTGTACCAGATGAAGATGGTTTTGTTAGAATGAGTCCAAGACAGAGAAGGGAACATCAATTACAACAAGTATTGTAAAAAATAAATAATTAACAAAATAAAGGATTTTAGTTTTCTTGTAGCTTTTAAAAATTAGAAAATCTTTAGAAAAATATTTAAATATATTTAGAATCCCCCATTGTTTTACTCTTGTATTTTCATTAAAATAAATCTAAGAATTTATTCCAACTTCCAATTTTATTTTTCATTTGGTCATCTTACTGGATGTTTTTGAATTATTTGGATGTTTAAGCCTTAATAATTTCAAATTTTATTTAAAAACATTTAATAATTTAATATTAAGCAACAACAACGCTTAGCTGAAGAAGCTGTTACACATAAACGCCAACCTAGCCATTATGATAATGTTTTGTCCTCCTCTTCCTCTGATACTAGTGGTGTTAATAATACAAATAATGGAATAATTAATACTAATCAACTTAATAATAATACAAATAATCCCTCTACTTTTTATACCCAACAACACGGAACAAGCGTATTAAAAAATTCTAACGTTAACCCTATTCAACAGCAACAAATATTACAATCTCCTATTCACAGTAATAATGTTGAGGTATTTTATTTGTAACCTACCTATAATATGTAAAATTCATATATAAAGCCCGTTTGTACCTTCTAAACAAAATATAAATCAATGCCTGAGTACACTGGACAGAGGCCAGATCAAAAGACGATGGTCTTTTGATCTGGTCAAATAGATATTTTTATTTGACCGAGTTCTTACGGGTTTGTTATGTCTTGGAGTTCTTGCTGATATTTAAAAAGGGGACACCTTTAACCCAACTATTTTAAAACTTCAATTTTTAAATTCTTTTATATATTAACCTAATTTTAACATTCAGCACAGGCGCGATATCTCTACTGACAGCAGTGGTCGCCATCGAGTTCACCGAACACCGAATAATGTGACTTATGTAATGCTTGGCCCAGAAGAGGAAGATAATAATAGTAGTGATGGAAGTCAACAAAGTATTGTGCCTTTTAGAAAAAATTTTGTTGAACAAAGAACATCTGCAGCGATCAGGCGTGTTGTTACTAGTCCACAACAACAAAAACCATATTTCCCTCCACCAGATTATCCTGGAAGTGAAAAATTTCTTCCAAAAGCAACCGCCACAAATATTGAAAATAAACCAAACAAAAATTCTGAAATCTCAGAAACACCAAAAACAATAAAAACAAAGGCAGAAAGACATCCTTCTGAACGAACTCCTTCAAGAATACCGATGTCTACAAATACAGACAGACGTAGACCATCATCTCAAAATGAAAGACAACCTATGGCAAAACCTTTATATGCTAGAGATGAGAAAACAGTAGTGAAACGTTTTTAATTTTGAAGAAAAATGAGGGAGAGCTTTTCTTTTTAGGACAGAGAAAGACTTGAAAAAATTGAAGCATAATTTTAAATAAAAAATCTGTATCAATTTTTAGGCACTTAAACTTTCACAATTTTTAGAAAATAAAATATTCCTCTTTTAGAAATTATCTTCTTTAATTTCTTAAAAATTATTCCAACCCCAAAAATTAAGTGTTTAAAATTATTGTGATATATTAAATGTTTGCGTTTCTTAAAAAATTGATTTAAAATGCCAAAAATTGTAATTTATTCCTCAAAATTATGAAAAGTTTGACATGAGGCGCTACAATTGTACAGTGAATTGTAATTAGGTATATACAATTAACTCCACAACCAAATGTGTTGTCTTTACCAAAAATTTAGTCATGTGTTCAACACTAGAACGATCTAGTCGATTTTCTAGAATCCATATATCTAATCACAATTGACTGTACAAGTTTGTATATCCTGTTGGACTACTATTCACAATCTCTGACTTTATATGAGGCGCAAATTCATTTTTTACATAAATTACTATTCATGCATTTAAAAATAAATTTTATCTATTTCCAATATGTATTTACAAGTAAAAAAATATTTTTCAATCCATTATGGTAAAAAGACATAACCAGTGCCTGGAAATTTTACATCTGCTAGTACTTTACAGGGTTTTTCACTCAATACGAATTTTGGGGTAAAAGTTCCCAAAAAGAGAACAAACCAAAATTTAATCTAAAAAAGTTTTATCTAAAACATCCCCTAGTTTGATTATGCCTTTTTAATATTTTAAATGCCAATAAGAAATTAAATGACGTTTCAGATTATTGAATAAATTAAAGCTCAATGAGGAGATATTTCTAAATGACATTAAAAAATTGAAATTAAATCACAGGGAAATACACAAGTAATATAAAAACATCAAAATGCGTAGTTGCAAACAATCAAAAATAGATTGATTTGAGGTCATAAGAATATCACACAGGAGAAAAAGGGAATGATAAGGCAAAAAATATATAAAGAGAAGATTCAAAAATTATTTTTTAAAATTGTTCTCAAACACTCAAATTGTGAACAGATTTTTTTTAGGAAATTTGAAGGTCTAAAAAATTCATCACTGTTTAGATAGAGAACAATTTTAAAGCACAAGAAATTTTAAATTAAATATTTCAGTTACCTTTTAATAAATTCGAAAAATATTTTCTTGTTGATGACGAAGATGTTTATTAAAATGTATCAAAAAACTGGAGAATTTTGATGGAGGTATATGCCCTTTAAAATAATCCAAAGGCTGAGGTTTTATTCCGTGTATAAAGGTATATTCAAGTTGTAGAAAATCAATCATTACTTTAATTAAATTTAATGTTTGAATTTGTCGATATTTTGAACGCCTGATACGATATGAATAAATAAACAAAAAGTCCTCGTCAGTTTTGATATTTGATGTACAAAGATCTAGAAAATGAATAAATTAATTGGGACAATTAAATGTGTTAATTATATATCTTTTCATTTTCACTCCCTTAATTATTTAAAAACTGTTTTCAAATACTTTTAACCTATTATTAATATTTAATTAACTTGCTTTGATCAATTTCCATTTGTAATTCCATTCCCAATTGAAATTTGTTTATATCACTTTTACTCTTTTTTCTAGGCAATGAACTTGTTGAAGATTCAGAATTATCGTTGTCATCCCTTTAAAAAGTTATTTTTTAATATTTATTCAGTCTCTATCCCCTCTATTTATGTTAAGGTAAGGTTGGGGTTAGAAAATTTAACATTGATATACGAAATTGTGTTGAATTAAAATTGCGATAAGTTAATTCCCTAGATAAGCGACCGAAACAAAATTTTTTAACATTTAGAGAAACAAAATATCCCCATGTCTACCTTATATTTATAAAATTAAAAAATACCTATTATTTTTCTCATTAATTTTCCTCTTTAAATGTTTAAATTTAAATCTAATTGTTCTTTCAACACATCCTAGTATTTTTTGGCAATATTTAAATTCTCTAAATTTGTCATTTGAAACGATAAAACCACCAACTTGAGAAGCATATTCTAAAATAGCAATATCGTCATGAACATTTGGTGGAACAACTGTGAGATTCCGAGAGCTTTAAATTCCTAAATTTAAAAAATTATTTCTCTTAAATGAATCAGAAAACCTGTAAAATAAATAAATTGGAAACTTTATTTTCTGACATATAGGAAAAAGAGATAAATACACGCACATCAAAGTCCTCTTCAAACAACCTTTTTACAACTAATAAAAGGCCAATTGCATCGGGTTTTCTTTAAAAATAAATGTTATAATTAGGGTTGTTGGCGACCGGTTTTAAAACCGGAATTTTTGAAATTTTTTGACAAAAATTAACCGTTTTTATAAAATTTTAAAAACCGAAAACCGGAATTTTGTGTATATGAGTGATTTTATTAAAAATTCCCCCAAAATAAAACCGGTATTTGTCTAAAACTAAAAACCGAAAACCGGGTTTCTAAAATTTGGATTAACCGAAAACCGGGGGTACCGGTTAGACCGGTCGCCAACAACCCTAGTTATAATCTTTTGAATCCAAAAAATAAAACTAACTTTTGATCAAACATTTGCTGTTCTGCACGTGAATGTAACCCCATACCAGCACATAAATGTAAAACATTACAACCATCAACTATAGCCATTCTTTTAATCACATCTTTGGTTGGGATAATGCCTTCTAAAAGTAAAAATTAATTAAACGTGTTACTCAGAAAATTTATTAAAGGAATAATTTTAATTTTCTAAGCCAGCGAAATTATCAAACGATCTTGTTAAATAAAAAAAATCAAACCTTCATCTGATTCACAATTTACAATCATTGGCACCTTCTAAAAAAAAATTTGAAGAAATTAGATAAATTAGAATATTTAAAAATAAATTTTATGAATAATAAACACTAAATAATTAAATAAAAATATTAGAAAAAATTTATCTTCAAAAAACAAATATATATTTTATAGATAGGAGATCATCGATTTTTGCAGTTTTATTAGATTCATCGATACAATTTTAAAAATTAATAAATCGATTACTCTCCTCTTTAAATAAGTACATATCCCTGTCCTAAGGTCTTGTTATGTGGAGAAAAATAAAACAAGAAAGGGAAGGGGAAAATAATTTTATTTATTTAAAAATTCTTTTTTTTTCTTCAATTTTGTCCACTTCTTGTTATTTATTATATAATTATTCTTTTGTTGGAATCTTTATTTACCCTCTTCTTTCTCCTTATGTTTCTCTTTAGCCAATTTCTCTTCGTGTTCCTTAGCATTTGGAATCCAAAGACCAGAATCAATACAACGCTGCAAATGATAATTGAAGACTTCCCTATCCATAGTTTCAGCTACTTTAAACATTTTGTCCATACTTTGAGATTCAAATGCTTCACGCAATGCCTAGAAAGAGAATATGAATATTTTTAAATAAATTGAAAAGAAAATTAAAAACCTCAGGAAGACTCTCCAAAACCTCAATAGGATCCAAACCACCAGGAGAAGCCTCAACTCGCTTAGCCTTATCAGATGCCTCTGCTTCAGCGACATAAGCCTCACGCTTGTCCCTGGCACGCTTTCGAAGTCGATCCTTGAAGGATTGAACTTCCTCCTGATACATTTGCAGATACAAAACCTCAGCAGAACGAATTCTAATTAAATAAATTGAAAGAAATAAAGAATAAAAAAACTTTTTGAAGAAGCTTTTAATCAAATTTGTATTTGTTGAGAGAGCATGCAATGATTTGGCAAGTTCAAGAAGATATTGAATTGTAATACAATTCTCGGCTACACGACCCATTTTGTCATCCTTTAAAAATATTTTTAAATTATAAAAAGTAAAAATACTTACATCTCCCTCAATTGCATGATTGAGAGCTTCAATGGTCAACCAATTTGTAGCATATTCAGAAGCCAAATGAGGGTTATCCAACAACATATTCTAAACAAAAAATATTATTTAAAATACTAGAAAAATTTTAAAAAACCTCCATAGCATCAAAACCTTTCAAAAGACTCATTTCTCCCAATAATGTCTCGTTTTTAGAAAAGTAGTCAAGTAAACGTCGATGCTCTTCATCTTCGCTGAGTTTTGGTTGAGCAGAAACACTAGGAGAGGAGGCATCCTTAACTGAAGTCTTATCTTTTGGCTGAAATTAATAAAAATATTAAAAATTAATTGTTTATTTCACGTGAAGAAAAGGGGGCAATATACATTAGTATAGATATCCATTAGGTTTAGAATTCAACAAAGCCCAACCGGACATTTAATTCAACAGCTATGAGTGGGCGGGGGGGGGGGGGGGGGTAGTGGAGGAACAACAGAAGTACTATATCTCCAAAAACCACCTTATTAACAATAGTTCGACTCCAAGTTTCCTTCCCAATTGTATCAATATTCCAAGGTGCCAATCTCTCCTTATCAGCCAATTCCTTCTCTTTTCGCAAATATTCTTCTTCTTGTTTACGGATATTATCACGTTCCAACTCCAATTTGATACGCTCTTTTTCATCCAAATTTGTGTTTGAAAGCTTTTCTTCAATTTCCTTAAAATAAAAATTTTTGTTTAAAAAATTATTCAAAAAAACCTGAACACGGCTCAAAACTTCCTTCTTTCCACCCTCAACTTTCTCCTTTTCTTCTTTCATTTCTGCCATACGTTCAAGCCGAGCTTTGTGACGCCAACGGAAAAGAGAAGGCTAAAAAATATTTTAAAAGAACAAATTAAAAATTAAAAAACCGTATCAATATTTGGATGGGTATCATCTTCATCATCAGATATTTCAATATCCTTCCAGCGAGAATAATCTATGGCCATTGGTTGAATAATAATGTTAAGAATTTAATTAATTTTACAGCTAAAGGAACTTAAAATTAATAGAAAGAAACAAACAATTTTCCATAAAACCCTAGTTTTGCTCCAATTCGAGTTGGTAGGGGACGACTGGTTGGACGTTTTTAAATGTGCCTTTTAGGGTAGGACATCTTGGAATTTTTGCTGGTGGGACATTTGGGCTTTTGTACGGTTTTTGATCAGTGGGAGAATCGTGATCAGAAGTCACAAGCAAAAAATCGGTTTTCAGGCTGTCTTTTTTTTGTGATGACCAGATCGGTCCAATTATGAAAAAGATGTCGAATCTCAAGACCTTTCGAATGATATGAGAATTATTCGGATCGGTCAAAAATTAAGAAAGTTATGGTCATAAACCGAATCGGCGGATACTGAATTTAAGATGTACAAATACATAGGATCGTTTTTTAAACGATCACCCTGTTAAAGGATCGTCACGGGCGAAAAATATTAAAGGGCCGTTCATTAAAGGATCGTCCATCAAAGGTCGCAACGAGTAAAAACGTAAGGATCTTCTTTTTTTTATAAATTGCATAAAGCCAGTTCAGTGCCACCAGTTTGGGTGCAGTTACGTGCTACAGTCTGACAACGGTGATTAAGAGGGATATCGGGGGATTTTATGGATTAAAGTGAGTATCAATTTTTTGTGTCGCAGGCGAACAATTTTGAGATGGATTTATACGGATTTGGAGTATAATATCTGTACCCATCCGTATCCATCTGATTAAAAAACAGTATCATATCCATCCGTACATACATATGTGCTCATACTTCATTAAACATTATAATACTTATTAGAACAAATTTCTGTACTATCTTCAAAATACTGTTGTTGGTATGTAATTCCAAATAAAAATACTATTATAATTACATATGCAAAATCTAAATTTGAGTAAGGTAAAAGTTGAGCCACGAGAAGGTATGGATCCTGCGAGCTAGGCGCTTTCGCTCTAGCTACTGAACTACCGTATCTCCGACTGAGCTATGAATCTTCACCTTACCTTTTAATAGAGCTTAAATTCCCGCCTAATCCATACTAGCCAGCTGGATCTTTCTCTTTTTTACATTTATTTACAATTTTTAAAATTATTTCTCCCTCCCCTCCACTCATCTCCTCCCCTTCACCCCCCCCATCCCTCAATAATTTATTTTATTCACTTTACAAAATTTTGCTTTAATCGAGAAAATTAAAGATAATAACTTTATTTATTTTTTATTTTAAATTCTTTACAAAGTAAACGCTCGATTATTATTTTGTTATAATATTCTTTAAAAGAATTTAAATCAAATAAACAGAATACCCTCCACCTCCACCTACAACGCTAAGTTTTCTATTTATCGAGTATTTCATAAATTTAGAAAAATTGAAAAAATAATATTTTATATTAATTAATTTAATTTAAAATCACAGATTATTTTTAATCTTTCAAAAAAAGACTAAAATGAAAAAATTTCTTTTATTTTTGCTTTTATTTTTTATTTCAATTTTCCTTCAATTCGGAAGTGGAATGGAAGGTTATGGAGGTTTACTTATTTTTATTAATTATTTTGTGTCAAGTTTTCCAAGCAGTTAAATAAACTTTAAATCAGGGATCGCGTGGAAAAAAATCAAATTTTTGTCCTGTGACATCAAAAAAATTTTTTGGTTTTGTAAATTCTATTTCTCAAGTCTTGTAGTTTGTACTATCTAAACAAAAAGTACAAAAAAATTTTTAGCATTTGAATACCTACAATAAGATATAGCAGAAGAGCTGTACAAGCAATATACAGTGGCGGCAATATGTTTAGACCCCCAATTCCCGTTGATTTTCGAGATTCGAGATCTCAATGAAGAAAGAAGGTACAGACTTCGTTCTTTTTACTTTTCCACTCAGTATTGACGGAAATGTCCACAGAAATTTTTTTAGAATTTTGGCTGCAGTTAATGTTGGAAAACTAAAAGTGTTTCTAAACTTTTTTCCAACAAAAATTCGACTTAGCCGACTTTAATTTGAAATATCTCAAAATAAAAAATTTGTATGGAACTAAAATTTCTTGTAATAGATACACCATAAAAAATGCTACAAAAAAGACCAAGCACTTTTTTCAACTCTTTTATTTTGCCAAGTTATAAGCCCTCAAAATTTTACAACACTAGTGTTTCTATACATATTGCCGCCACTGTAGTAAAATACTAAAGAGTATGTACCAGGGGTGGGCCGAGTCCCAAAAAATACGAGACACGAGATTCACGAGATACGAGATTCTCAAAAAAATACGAGAGCGAGATAAAACGAGATACGAGATCTCTCAAAAAATACGAGATTTCACGAGATACGAGACACGAGATACGAGACTCAGCCCACCCCTGGTATGTACATTATAGCGCGATTTGACTTTATCTATATAAAATAGGTACATGTATGTATATGTATAATTTATAATAATGGTAGGAAGTTAATAAAAAAACTTATTTTCATATTTAATAGACCAATTTGGAGTTGGTCCTTCTTCTAGTCCCGGTCCATCATACCCATTGAACGATGAACCAAGCAATTTTTCATTGGTTGAATTGACTGTTTTGATTAGAACTTTGCTAAGAATTAAACAAGAAGATTTGTTTAAAGAAACTAATGTTGATAAACCATTGTTTAAATTTTTTAAAGAAAATGCTAAAGAGGTGTTAAAAAGATTTAACTTGTCTGGTGATAATCTTGCTCATAAAGGGGTAAAGAAGGCTAATATGGTAAGAGAAGAATTAAAATTTTAGATTTTTGTAGCTATTTTTCCTTCCGATTTACGGTTTTCGAATCTTGTTTGTGGGTGTTTTGATTATTTAAATAACCAAAATACTAAACTTTCTAGAGACCCCTCTTCTTTTATTAATTGTTTTTAAGGTTATATCCTATTATAACTCACTGATAGATGAACGTGACAATTTAAAATTGTCTAGATTAGAGCATTTTAGTGTTGAGGAAAAGGCTGAATTTATGTTAGAAAGAATTTATGGTTTCTCTTATACTATGGAAAAAGAAAATTACTCAGCTTTTTTGGATAAGTATAATCTTAATTTTGAGGATTATGAAGAAAGTAAAGCCAATTTAATGAATTTAATGTAAATATTTAAAATATATTAATAAATTAAAAACCTTTTTGAAAATTTGATAAATAAAAATTAAGTATTAAAAGGTTTTTATTTAATAATGTCCTTCCTCTCTTCACCTCCCTAATCCAAATATTCACAACAATGCTTGGCACGCTCGGAGCAGTTCAACAAAGTCCCGGCCCTTTAACTCAAGAAGCGGTGGATAATTTTTAAGTTTTTTATTACTGTTGGATAGAGCATTAAATTATTTAATGCTATATCCAACGGTACCAAGAACAAAAAGAAGTGGTCACCCCTTAAAAATTTATAAGGTCCGTGACTCAGTTGAGCCTGACACTCTGTTAAAAATTTTATTTTAACTTTTAAGTGATGAAGATTTCGAAGCTTTATTGCAATTTTCCGCAAGGACATTTATAATTGAAAGAAATCTTTATATTCTTTGGAATTTATATGCTTTTACTCGTCAATTAATTCGTTCATTTCTTACATCTCACGAAATAATTGATGATTATAATCAAAAATTGTTTAATTATTGTGAAAATAATAATGAAATTAAATCAATGTTTGTTTAAAAAAATTTTTTTTGTTAGTCTAATCGCCCAATTTAAAGACCTGTCAATTACCTATATTTTTGAAATAAGTATATATATAAATTGAAGGGGCTTCCTAATCTTTTAATTAAAAAAATTATGTTAATTTCGTTCAGAATAATTGAATTAATTTACCTATTTATAGCCAATATATTTCTATTTTTCGTTATTTGCAATTCTATGATGAATTTGAAATTTTTGCAAATAATTTAACCAAAAATTATTTGGAAAATTTGAATATTTACGAAGAAAATAAAATTCAATTTGTATATAATGATGATTTATATGGTAATTAATTAAAGAGATTTTACAGTATTTGTGAAAATTTCGTTTATTTAAAATAAAAATAAATTTGAAAATTTAATTACGGGGCAACCCCGAATTCAAAAAAAAAATTTTGATTCATTAATAAATTGTAAAATAATTATTAATTTAAAGCAAATTATTTTGTTTGTCAAAAATTGAGTATTGCTGATGAAAATAACAGCACAATTTACCCTTCACAATTTGAAGATGAAGATGAAGATATTAATATAGAAGATTATTTTAAATTGTTTTATAAACAACATTGTAAGCAGTGATGGGGGGGGGGGGGGTTCTAGTTTCGGAACTGGAACGTGGAACCGATAAATGTCTGGAACCGGTTTGGAAAGGGTCCGGAACCGGTTCCAAAGGTCTCCATTTGAGCCACAGTCTCCAATATAAGCAATTGACCACAGTGGTTCTATTAGAATTAACCCGTTATCTCCCCTATTATAAACAGCATGAAACTTTCCCAACCGTTGTAACATGTCAGCACTACTTTTTCATTGAACTCATAAACATTTAATGGGACTCATAAATCTTCATTGATTATTAAACTTTCACTGAACATACTAAATTAGACCAGAAAATATTCAAAATATTTTTAGTTCCGAAAGAAAATTTCTCTACAGAAGAAGAAAATACAATTAAAGAAACAATAAATAATAATCCTTCTCTTTATCTTTTTTATTACAATTTACCTGTAAAAGTACAACAAAAATTGGAGTATTTTGTAATAGATAAAAAGGTTATTTCAAATTGTGTAAATTCAAAATATTATTTGGAAAATTCTACTGAATTAATTAAAATGCGTTTTACCAGTATTCCACCTCATGCACATGAAGAAGCTGTAACAAAGGTTGGGTTTATTCTTTATAAATTGACAAAAGATTTTTAGCGTTTATAGCACTAAAAACCTGAGTTTTTCTTTAGATGAGAATTTGGTAGCAGGGGGTGGGGCTATGTGCCCATTTTTCCCCAAAATTCCCCTTATATTTGTCACTGGCTC